AAATCCGCGCGACATCGCGCTCACCCCACGTTCGCGACCCGCGCCGCTCCCATCGGTCACTAAGTAGCGATGACCGGCCAGCATCACAGACACTCCCAAGGACGCAAGAGGAACAAGCGGTAACTACGCAGACGGATGATCAACTCACCCCTGCTCCTCTGCCTCAACGAGACCAACGCCCAAGGAGGGTAATTATTCAAACACCCCCTCTTCCACCAACGCAACCGGATCCCAAAACGACAACAACAACATCAGCAACAACATCGCCTCCGATCGCCTCGACTTCGAAGCCAACCCCAGCGCTGAGAAGCAAGCCTCCACCATCATTCGCAAGTGTTACCTCAACACCCCCACCGATGCCCCCCTCCACCAGCACTACAGCCACCACGATGACATCTCAACCCCCACCTACACAACAAAAACCGAGATACCCGCCGATAGTGGTAGAAAAAATTCCCGACTGGACTACCCACATGCAAGAAATACGAAACCGACTCGGACGCCCGCCGAATGCCCGCCCCTTTGGAACGGGCATAAGATTCACACCGGAGGACGGGAATGAGTACCGCCTGATCCAGTCCTATCTCTCGGATCTGGAGAATGAGGCCGGCATCAGTTGGTACTCTTACGCTCTTCCCGAGGACCGCAGTTTGAAGGTTGCAATACGCGGCCTCCCGTTTCACACAGAGCCACACCTCATTGCCAACGCCTTAGAGGAAAAAGGCTTCAACGTAGAACACGTTAAACGCATCCAGGCGAGAGCGGGCCGACCGGGATGTATCTTCTTCATCGCCCTCGCTCGCACTCCCGGACTGATTCCAGCCATCTATGGAGTAAACGAACTTCTAAGCATGCCTGGAATAATCATCGAAGCATGGCGCGGTAAGAAAGGACCGGCCCAATGTCACCGCTGCCAGGGATTCCGCCACTCATCCAAAGGATGCCACCGCCCCCTCGCCTGCGTCAGATGCGGCGAACCACACACAGCAGCTGAGTGTCCAAGACCGATAACAGAGCCCGCGACGTGCGCCAACTGCAAAGGACCTCACCCCGCTAACCACTCGAGCTGCCCCGCCCACAAACGGGAAGCCAGAAACAAAAAAGCTGGACTAGTGGTGAAAACAGGACCAGTGACAAACGCCACCATCAAAAAAAAAGAGGTTAGTGAAACCACTACTACCTCCTTAATGGCTCCCGCCAACCCCCCCACCACCAGACAACGCAGCACCACCACCACCGCCGAAGCCACCGCAGCGCCATCTATAAAACGGCGCCGAAAGAGGAAAAATGAAAACGTAGAACCATCCCACACTGCACCGACCACTCGATCGGACTCAAAAGGCCCAACTACAAAAGGTGTGGCCCCTGACATCAAAGAATTGCTCGACCAAACATCGAAGGAAATAGTCGAGCAATTCCAAACGAGATTCCTACAACTTTTGGCAGCACATTCCAGCCGCTAAGAATACGACATCAACACCCCCACACCTCCGCCCTCCCCGCATAAGTCCGTCGTCTGTTCGCTGGTCGCTCGCTGGGCCTCCCATATGGGTCTCACCCGGCGCGGCTTGACCGCGCAGAGGACGACGCGTGAAGAGCGGACCGACAAGAATTATATAATATAACCACATAGACCGACCCATCCGAGTATGGGCCGCGAACCCGACACAATAGTAGATTAGTAGTCAGTCATCAGTAGTCAAGCAGTCAAGTTGTAAGATACCAGTTAAGAAGAAATAGTTGTAAGAAGAATAAATCGTCTTTAGAAGTCAAACCATCTTTGTTTTGCACCTGAACATCATACAGTCCACAGCTAGCCATCGAAATAGAGCACCATCCCCAATAGTTTGGTCCTTCGAGCCGGATCAGCATCAGTAATTTGATTCCCTTAGCATTCGCGTTTTAAAAAATATTTCTTAGGGATCTTGTTCCATCGGTACTATGCTATATACTTAATATAATATATCGCAGTCAATGAGTGAGGAAGTATTAAAAAAAAATAGTTCCCGAAATCAAACTAGATGTCGCTACGGTGCTTTCTTGATTTCTCCATGACAACCTTTCCGGTTTACTTTCGTGTATAAAAGTAAATAAATTTTCAAAACTCATTAATCGACTCATATTCTATTTGTACTTTTTCGTATTTGTATTGATATCTAAGTTTCGAACTTTGCAAATTTTAGTTTTTTAATTTGTTAGTTAAAAGGAACGGAAATAACTATCTTCGGTCCATTTGTTTCCTGCTAAAATCAACTTTTAGTAGAGTCGCCATCTAGTGAGTTGCTTTTAGTGCTTTCTTTTTTTCTTAAAATACTTTCTCATTAGTTACAACATAGACCAATAGTCTTTAAAATTTAGATCCTTCTTATATTTTTAGTTAAATTTTTGTGGTATTGGGTGACACAATTTCATTGGCTTCTGTTTCATTGGCTACGCAAAAGTTATAGAACCAAATAACTCCTTTAAGTATTTTCCTGTTCCATAAATGGATTAATAAATATATTTAGTTATATATTTTATCATATTCTTTCATTAAATTTTACTGCTCAGGGGTAGGGTTTTATGTTCGTATGGCCCTATATTTGGTATTTAAAAATATTAAATAAATTATGAAGCAGGAGCACAAAAATACATAAAAATGATTTGAATAGTGGATGAATTAAGCATTTAGGTCAAAACATTCGAAATCAGTATGACATATATCGATACGTCAATGTTTCACCTCCCTACATGTTGGGAAGCCATTTTGTAAGTCGCATTTTCGTGAGAAAAGTTTCGAGTTTATTTTTCATAGATCAGTCGGTTTCTGTGTTTTACGAGTTAATAATAAAATGTCCAAACGCAGAATTGAAGTGATGGATCCTTTTATCAAGAAAAAAAGGTTTGTGAGTTTATATATCTGTCGTACATGGTATGGGTAGGCCATGCGTTGGTCCTTTATTTCTTGTGTTTGTCAATCGTAAAGTAGAAGTGCTGGGTGGTGCGGTTTTGGTGAGTTTGTTTAGAGTATAGAATTAAATTCAGAATTTGCTCGATTCTTTTAATGTGGAGTAATTTTCAATCATGTGTTTAGGCGAAATCTCATGAGGATACGCAGTTCATTGTTAACGCTAGTTTTACGCGTTTGTACCACCGATTATCGAGGACGAGCAGTCATCAATATTTCATACTCATTAATTATACATATTGTAGGAAAATCAAATATTCTGTGATACGTTTACCTTAACAAAATATTTGTTTGTCAAAACTATTCAGAGTAGACTGGTTGGTGGGTCTTGTTGTTTTATTTGTTAGAAGTGTAACAAATAGGTTTGGACATCGCACATGAACAGACTTATGTCTGTAGTAAGTACTATTAAAATTATAGTATGCATGAATAAGTTTACTTTCCATAGTGCTAAAGTTATAATGGAAAATAATTGCTTTTAGTCTATTCCTAATTCACATGCTGCTTGTTTCGGTTTGTTCAAATTGGTATTTTATTAAAAATTGGTGTATTTGAGATGATCACATTTTGTGATTCTGAGACTTCATAATACCCTATAATATTCTTGTTTCAAGAAGTATGTATAAATATATAATTAGTTCAAATAAGCCAAAAAAAAAAAACTTAACCTCTTTGGTACCATCCCTTACAGTTCACATGAAAGTAAACATTAAGGCTTGAAAAAGTATCGTTAATTATATTAATCAACATAAATCATTACATATATATGTTTAATTATCAATATATAACTATTATAATTAATGTATAAAAATCATACATGATTATGTTATTTTTTTTGTGAAAATAATTTAACACTTACATTGCTCTTGTTTTTCTTGTTATATAGATAGATTACTAAAAAAGATTTTTTATTTTTATTGTCCACTGGCTTGAAAACCTCTTAAGAGGCTCGCGGGCATGGCATGTCACATGACCAAATCCTTTTAAGAGACTCGTAGGACCAAATACATTAAAATTAACATGATTACTTGTCATAATAATAAATAATGTATACTTTTTTTTATACTGCTATCTGTCATATTTATGTAAGATATGTAAACAATTAAATGCATAGAGTATATTATTTAATAGATTAAAAGATAATACAAATTTGATGACCTAGATATGTACCTAGCAAACTACATTAATAGTGATTTATATGCATCAAGTGAACTGATTTTTTTTCATTGCATCCATCCAAATAGAAAACTAATATATATTGTATTCTGCATCATAAAAAAATTAAAACATTGACTAATTCACTCTGTTTCAATATGTTGCAATAGCTTTAGTCATCATAATGATCTTATGCAGTTGTAGTTGCTCATTAGTGATTATTAATTTACAGGGAAGAGAAAGCAGCGGCAGCAGCTAAGTCAGGTGGTAGTGGGGAATCTTCAGAGTCTGTAGCAACATTAGGAACAAGCATGCCTCCGACAGCGACCAGCACTCCTGGTGTCAACCCGTACACAGGTGAGCCTGACCTTACATAATTCTGCAGCATTGATGTGATAGCTTTGACTAATACATAAATCCCACAAATTTAGTATCGTCTTAGGCAAGCAGATAAGAAAAGTAATGAAATTGACAGCAAACTTGTTTAAATCATTAATTAATTATCAAATATAATTAATGTAGAAATAAAGAAGCAAGTCCAGAGGAAAACACTAATTTCTACTGTCTTATATACAATAAAATCAAAGTGAATTTTAAACTGACTTAAAAAAGGTGGAGGTTCTCAATTCGATTGTGTGTTACCTCATAACTTTTTACTGGGTGGATCGACTTTGATGACTGAAATCTAGTGGTTGCTCTGTGGTCCCATTTTAATTTGTTTCAGATCTGGCAATGGCATCTATGAGAAAACCATATAAGTCTTAAATATGCATGATGTTTGTTACCCCAAAACTTAAAATATTGCAAAAATGCATGAAATATACTTTTTTTTAAATGGAACCACTTCAAATTAAAAAAAGTGAAAAATAATTCTTATCTTAAAAGTGGTTAATTTTTTTTAAGAAACATTGAAGTTAGGCTGTTAATATTTAATTAAATAACTGATTCTGCACAAAACTATTGTGCAAAATTATAAAATTATGTGTATTGTAGTAGGTTAAAAATGCAGTTTGAAATTAATATTTTATTAATATGCAAATAATAAAAATCTATTTGTTGACAGGACTGCCACATTCACAACGTTACCATGAACTACTGAGACGTCGTTTGGGGTTGCCAGTGTGGGAATATAAGAACGATTTCATGAGACTGTTGAATACACATCAATGTGTGGTGTTAGTGGGTGAGACTGGGTCTGGAAAGACCACGCAGATACCGCAGTGGTCTGTAGAGTTTGCCTCCGTGACTGCGGGCAAGTCTAAAGGAGTGGCGTGCACACAGCCCAGGAGGGTGGCCGCCATGTCCGTGGCGCAGAGAGTTGCTGAAGAAATGGACGTCGCCCTAGGTGAGTAATCTACAGAGGTTGTATTGCAGTCTCAAAAATTGAATAAAATGTATCTATTGGAATATCATATTTTCTGGTTGTAAATGTCATTTTAAAATGTCTATAATTATATAATAATCAAAGTATTTTCAATAAAATAACAGTTTTGTTTTGAGCCAACCCATGCGCCAACATGGCAAATATTCGATGTTCTAAGACAGCACATACATGAAGTAGTGTACTATTAGAATTTTTCTTTTACCAAAAATTTGAACACTGATTGTAAACCATCTTGGTGTAGTGGTTCCTGTTCTCAATTACAAAGCTGTGTGCATGAACATGTAACTTTTTATCGGTCTGTGTGTTTTTTATGTATATTGATTATCTATTTAAAACAAAGCGTGCGTTCTGTGAAAGTGACGAATTAAACCATAAAACAGAATTACTTAAATCGGTGATTGAATATTTCTTATATAGATTGATTTTAATGGATATATAAGTTGGAATTTACCATCGACTTGGAATCCAGTAATTAGTCTTAATAAATCTCAACCCAGATCACACACTGCAAAACCTAAAGTTACAGGTTGTTCTTTCTTCTTGGTTTCTTTCTACTTTCTTGTCGGAGTCTGTTTCGCCAGTACTTCTCAGACAAAACTTCCAAATTTTGAACTGCTGGTAGTTTATTGTAGTTTTTTAAGGAATTGCTACTATGTGCATTGTTTTTATTAAAATTCCGCAAACTCAATAAAAACAAGGTATATGGTAGCAATTCAGTAAAAAAAACAAATTGTAATACCTATTCATGCTAAAAATTGAAGTCGAAACATCTTTACTTTGTTATTCTTCATAGGTCAACAAGTCGGATACAGCATTCGTTTCGAAGATTGTTCAGGTCCACAAACAGTTCTTAAGTACATGACAGATGGTATGTTGCTTAGGGAAGCAATGTCAGATCCCATGTTAGAACAATACAGGGTGATACTCCTTGATGAGGCTCACGAGAGAACCCTTGCTACGGATATACTCATGGGAGTGCTGAAGGAAGTTATCAAGCAACGTGCCGACTTGAAGTTAGTTATTATGTCAGCCACATTAGACGCTGGCAAGTTCCAACAGTATTTCGATAACGCTCCATTGATGAATGTACCGGGTAGAACTCATCCGGTGGAAATATTTTATACACCGAAACCTGAGAGGGATTATCTGGAAGCAGCTATACGTACAGTGGTGCAGATACACATCTGCGAAGAGATATCTGGTGATATATTGTTGTTTTTGACGGGTCAGGAAGAGATAGAGGATGCTTGTAAAAGGATAAAGAGGGAGATAGACAATTTGGGTCCAGACGCTGGCGAGTTGAAGTGTATACCGCTATATTCTACTCTACCACCAAATTTACAACAGAGGTGAGTACATATTAAGTTATTGCACATCTTGTCTCTCTCTGTTAATCAGTACATCAACACCATTATTTCAAAAGCTTAAGAAAATAGGTTATAACTGTATGTGAAATTGCAAAAATCTTTTAGAATTTTATCTTCAATGTAGGAAGGTGAAAGGTAGATCGAGTGGATTTATTTTACATTTTTGTTTAACCCGATAATATGCAAAGTTAATTTGTATATGGAAATATCGTTATTTTCAATGAAATATCCTTACAATATAAAAGAAAAATATCAGAAACATTGTAAAAATAATATTAAGACAACTTCAACACCACCTTGCATTTAAATTTACCATATACCAATATGGGTGTGGACAGTGAAAATAAATACCTTTTGTTAACGCTATCATATTTAATACTATTACCGATAATCCAACTTTAATGCTTATTATAATATACTAATTATTAAAAATTATTTTATGCTACCACAAACAGCGCGTGACGCCCTTCTTACCCATATCAGAACTTAGAGAATTCAACCTTATGTATAAAAGAACGATATTAGTTTCAGAGCGCCATGACGTCATGCCAGAAGTGGCGTTGTCGCGGCCTTTTTTTAAATTGAATTAATTTTTAGATCTTAACCCCATAAATGAAGGATATTTTTGAGTATTTAAGTATAAAATATATTAAAAAAGGTGGCTACACCCCTATTAGTTTTTTTAGGATCTAGCTTAGTAAAAATATTTTCGCCCCCTTCGTTTTCCCGTTTATGCAATTTTTTTTTATTGCCGCTCGACTCTTTATAAGTTATAGCGTGGTGTGATATAGTGTGGCAGGGGTTCCAAACTTATTTTGTTTATTGCCCACTATGAAAGTAAATTATTCATGGCGCCCCCATTTTTTCACCTAATTAAAACCACTATTACTTCAAATCAAATTAATTATCGTGAGTTAAATTAGCGAAGCTTAAATACTCATTCTAATCGAGACTTGTACTGTAAGCAAGATTTAACTTGAGATCTGTGCGCAGTAGGTAATACACGAGTCTTGTTTTAACTCATCCAAAGCCTTACACAACGCCCCCGTTTTATTTTTAGATCTCTTTCCTCACCCTTTAGAATTATAGCGCCCGCATGGGGGCATCATCGCCCACTTTGGGAAAGGCTGGTCGATAGTCTTTCTCAATAAATTCACTATTCAATACAAAATCAATTTTTCAATCAAACAAACTACTATAAAGCTGTAAGCTTCTCCAATGATCGTAGTCTGTTTGTGTATTACGTCCTTGCCGTATCATAAATAAGCTAAGGGGGATGGGGTATGACCCTGCACGATCCAATGCGGATCGGAGGGTATTGAAGACCAATGGTGCCTTCCGAAATACGGAGTAACTCGAGATAATAATTTATGGTCACCCATTCCGTTGCGAAAGTAACTTAACACTTGTGTTTCATTGATACTTATATAAATGTGTCCGGTGGTAGGATATTCGAGCCGGCGCCCCCCAACCGCGCTAACGGCGCGATCGGTCGCAAGGTGGTGGTGTCCACCAACATCGCGGAGACGTCGCTCACCATCGACGGCGTCGTGTTCGTCATCGACCCGGGCTTCGCCAAGCAGAAGGTGTACAACCCGAGGATCAGGGTCGAGTCGCTGCTCGTCTCGCCCATCAGTAAGGTAACACGAATTCTTATGGCGTATTATTAATAAATTGTTCTAGAAGTTTGTAATTGACACTGATCTAGGTACGTAGATTAATTTTTGATTAATAGAAAGAAAGACATGGACAAGACATTTTAGAGAGTATTTTTGTATTTGACACAATATTGTTTATTAATTTGGAACCTATTTATTTTTTTACCGATTTTTAAACTATTGTTATTGTGTCTTATTTTATAGTTTAAATATAATCTAATTTTTATATATTTCAGTTTTGAAGGAATGTCCATAAAAATCTAGTTGTATTAAATGAACGATTTTGATGCAATCTACCTTTTCATATTACTTGCTGATCAATAGTAATGATAACTAGTATATATATATAACGGCGGGTAGTCCGAATGGGCTATTACGAAGCCCAAATAGATTGTCCATATCGGAGGACTATCTTTAAAATAACACTGCAGCCGTGTATACCAACGTGGATTTGTTCCGTTTTATCACTTTTCACACGAAAATATAACGAGATGAGCGTGATGTCGTCGAATGTCTTTACTCCTCGGCGATCGGAAACAGAATGTCTGCCAAAATGGCGGCAACTTGCTTTTGATTAACGAACTGTCAAAGTCAGTGTCACCATTCTAATAAAATTAAGGGTATCGATGATCACGCTCTCTTTACAATCGAGTAATTAAGTAATCGAGTAACTAGCAATTAAAATAAAAGAAACTAAATCAAACGATCTTCGTAATGATGATGCGACATATATATATTAATTTATATATTAACCCATGTCTATATTTGTTTGCATTGTATCACTGTTTTAAGTTAGAAACAGCGTTTTAAAATAATAAAACCGTATCTATTGTAAAAACAATATCAATAATTGAGTCTCTGGCATTTGAGATAGTTGAATTTGTATTTCCTTTACAAATTAAAAAAAAAGCAATACTGAATTACAACACGATCAGTGTACAACAATACACAGGATTCTGGGGCAACAATACAGTATGATATATATGAACAGCGATATGTATCGTTTACTTTCAACACTCACAAAATGATTTTGGTCATTGTCCGTTTTAACAGAGCTATATATAAGAATAAGCTTTTGCCCGCGACTTGGTCCGCATGGTAAAGTTACTTTGAGCAGCATTTCTAACGAATATTTATTTATTCATTCCATTAGGTACTGATAGGTTCAAACTAATACATTTACATCCTCCATCATCCCTTATTTTATCCCCACGAGGGTTGAATTTATCAAAATCCTTTCTTAGCGGACGCCTACGTCATAACATCTACCTGCATGCCAAATTTCAGCCCGATCCGTCCAGTGGTTTGGGCTGTGCGTTGATAGATCACTATCAGCCAGTTGCACAAATGTCCATTAAAATTTACATTAGTTTAAAGCGACATTATCGATACAAATTTGACATTCATTAGAGCTTAAAGGCGTCATTAAAGCTTAATTAATGTTTGTGCAACAAGCTGTATGTCACCTTTGAGTTATATATATTTGGATATATGTTTATCACCTGTCAATATAATGTGATGTTTGATGAATGTACAGGCGTCGGCGCAGCAGCGCGCGGGCCGCGCGGGCCGCACGCGCCCCGGCAAGTGCTTCCGTCTGTACACGGAGAAGGCGTACAAGAACGAGATGCAGGACAACACCTACCCGGAGATACTCAGGTACCCGACGCGAGGTCGAACAGGGCTACCATACATACAAATAATTTAAAAGTTGTGTGCGTGCGAGGATTCCCAGTGAGGTATCGGGGAATACCCGAAATTTATAGGAAGTAAGATAGCTTCGTGCCGATGCCGATGTTGCCAGTGTCACATCGCGTTGGTTAATTTTTTAACAGAGACTCTGACTAGTCAATAAAGTTTTAAGATAATTTATTATCAGAGGTCGGAATTAGGTAGAGTTATTTATGTACTTGCATCGAAATGTTGATATTAATGTGGACCTTCCCGGGATTTCTTTATTTCTTTCTTTCATTGATGTAAGTTTGGCAACGTCGTGCGTGCAGTAGTTTAAATTGTGTAAAAGTAAATAACGTTTTATTTAAAAAATCATGGGATTTTTTCTGCTCTTTAAAATTAATCTCGTGATTTGAGGCATATCCACTTTATTCTTTCGCTGTATGAAATCAGTGTAAGTACATGAATAACTACCTAATTCCGACCACTATTATGTATATTTCAAGTTACTGATTCAGGTTCGCTTCCCGGTCAGGTCTATGTAAAAAATGGATATTTCTATATTTTCTCGAGTCTGGGTATAGTGGTACTTTTGTTGTCTATGGGGAATTTATTTAGCTACTCACCTTGGAATCTGAGCACTGTATGTAATATGGTCTAAAATTAGTAGATGTCCATCTGTCGATGCTTTCACTATCGATAGAGGCCTTGATATGATATCAGTTGCAATTTTGTCATTTTTTTAAGTTATCTATATCGAATTTTGTAATTGGTCTATCGATATTTGCAGTCCGAATATTAATACCAGTATTTGTAGTCAAACTATAAATATTAGTATGCAGACTATTGATATCGTTATTCAGCCGGTTTCTGAATTGGGAAAAGTACCAAATCTCAACCGATCGACTGCTGTCAATTGATTATTAAAAAAACTAAAATCAGAAACGAAAAAACCTGTTCAAGTTACCTTCAAGTACAGGTTGAGATGCACTTAACTTTCTCAATTCAGATACCGAGTGTACACAGACAGACTATCGATATCGATATTAGTATACAAAACTTGCCAGTGCCATTGTTACTAGCTAGTGTGTTGACGGAGGGTGGCGGGGCACTGTCCCGTGCGGGGGCGGCGGCGCGATTCTAATGCGGGCTGCATTGCGTTCACAGATCAAACTTAGGATCTGTAGTTTTGCAGTTGAAAAAGCTGGGCATTGACGACCTCGTGCACTTCGACTTCATGGACCCGCCCGCGCCGGAGACTCTCATGCGGGCTCTGGAACTGCTCAACTATCTCGCGGCACTCGGTAAGTGTTGTCTACACATTTGTATGACCGGCCAATATTCTACTCTGTTTGAAATTATACTTCTAATACTATAAAACTAATATTACCACGTTTTCTCTTGCATTGAAATTAAATCTTTTTTTTCATACCCGCGAAAACGCTGTCCGTCATATTTATGACGTCATTGTAATAAATACATAGTAGATTAAAACATGTGAAAAAAAATGCAATGCCATCTAACGATCGATTACGAAATAAAAAGATATAAATAAGCTAAGAGCAGCGCCATCTAGCAACTTGATTTATAATTAATATATATATATGCATATTTTTATGACTAAGCTGACAGCTGTCGCCACAGTGACGTCACACAATGGCGGGTCGTGTTTCAAGTCACGTGATATACGGATATTAAGTAAAGACTTAAAAATTTATGATAAGATGATCGTGCTATTTATGAGATGTAAATTTTAGTTTTTCTGCAATTATGTGACTTATTTTTCACTACCGAAATTATGAAGATGCCGCAAATAAAGATAATTAATGATTATTATTGATGGTTGAATTATAATTTTATTTACATATATAATACACACATGTCATAAATTATAAAAGTTTAGTAAATAGAAATAGGCATAAGATATGGAGAAAAATATAAAATTAAAAGACGTCACAAGTATGCATGTGTGCCGAACAATGCACATAGGCAAAAGCTTAGTAATATGTTTGTTTGTGAAGCAAACTATTGATTTTTTACTTATACCTATAAAATAGGATTAGCGGGGACGCAATCAAATATACATACTTATTCGAAAATATTAACTATTAAATAAAAAATATCAATTTATTATTTAAAATTGTTTCAAATGAAATTCGTAAGATAAAAAAATTATAAAAAAATGAAAATTACATTAAGCAGTAATATTTTAAAATGAATTGAATTATTTAAATTAAATATGTATTAGCAAATAATATATTTAATTAAAATTTAAAAAGGATAGTTTTTTTATAAGCATTGTGTCTTGTCTTGTATTAATGCTTGACACCAGAGAAGATTTTTCTCAGTGGCCTAGTAGAAAACATCGGTTCTCAAAGTTGATTAAGCTCCGACCTGTCTAGTAAAATTTTCCAATTTTAAGACTTCATATATTAGCTGTCATGTAAAAAGAGGGCATAAATATAGTTTGTGGCCTATAGTTTATGAGATAATGATGTTGTAATGTTTTATAGACGACGACGGTAACCTGACGGACCTGGGCGCGGTGATGGCGGAGTTCCCGCTGGACCCGCAGCTCGCCAAGATGCTGATCGCCAGCTGCAACCACAACTGCTCCAACGAGATACTGTCCATCACCGCCATGCTGTCAGGTATGTTGATGTCTTCACTGTGGAGGCACATGTATACTGTACTATGCACTACACTATAATGCACTAAGTTATACTACATTGTAATATACCAGTGCACTACACTACACTATCTCTCTACTTTCACAAGTACTCGTAACAGCCTAGACTGAATAAATAATTTTGTTTTTTTTTTTTTTTTATAGCACGCACTTTTACTTACGCAATTATACTACATTGTAATATACTAGTGCATTACACTATACTATATTCTATATGAATGTAGCTTAGCAGCACTACTGCTACCTTAGATATGTACAGTTTACATCTCGAGAGAGAGATATAATAAATAAACAACCCTTATAGTGCTATTTCTACAATGCATTAAATATAAAGTACTGTGGATTGGAGGGTATACATTATCATCCGCCTTTTTATGTCCCCAGTGCTTAATTAAGCCAGATCGGGGCCCGTTGCAAATAATACCCCACTCCTACTCCCTAAACAGTTAATAATATGACTAGTCAGAAGCGGGGCTTATTTTATTTCTTGCATTATTTTACACTTACTTGAAGAAAATAATTTATTGGCTCTAAACCATAGCGAGGATCCCAATTGCGCAGGGCCCCCAAACACGCGGGGCCCCTAGCATTTGCTACTTTTGCCATGTGGCTAATTCGGCCCTGTACGTGCCTACTGCCGGAGCTCGGGCCTCCCTAATGGAGCCCTTATTAGCCTCTACGCCGGCCCGATATGAATTGGAGGGGTATTAACGTCCGAAACCGACGGCTTAACGTGCATGAAGAGCTCGAAGTGACAATTTTCCGGTCACCCATCCCGCGACGGACCTTTGCGAGAGTGCAGTGCTATATATCGTGTGGTTGTGGTTATGTGCAGTGCCGCAGTGCTTCGTACGGCCCAACGAGGCGCGCAAGGCGGCCGACGAGGCCAAGATGAGGTTCGCGCACATCGACGGGGACCACCTCACGCTGCTCAACGTGTACCACGCATTCAAACAGAGTCAGTACACACTTTTATATATGTTTAGTGGGATAAAGAGTCAACTCATACCCTATCTGTATACAAAATTTCATCAAAATCCGTTCGGTAGTTTTTGTGTGATTGACTGACAAACATTCAAATACCTAAATGAAAAAATTTTCACATTGTTATGTATGAATGTCAAATATATTTTAATTAAAATACCAACAGGTTATCTTGTTAAAGAATAAGATTAATATATGTGGGTAGTTAGTTCACTTGGCACTTTTTCTGTCTTGTCATTGTGCAGGCTACATAGCTTAATAAATGGCATTACTTAATTTCGTGTTTTAATGGATATAAGACACATATATAATATAAATAATTAATAGGATAATCTAGACAACAGGTACCCAGAATTATTTAGTTTACGTGAACGGCTGGACCGATTTCGCTAATTCTTTTTTGTTTTGTGTCCGGAAAACATTATTAAACCACCATATTTAATTATTTCTAACCTAACCTTAGTGCTTTGGATAGTATATACTTTTTAAATGTAATCTTATGATGTTTGATATAGAATTGACAGAATGCGTGCTCCAAATATCGTCAAATACATAATTAAGTCAGGAGAATGTCAGGTCAGCTAGTTATTTATAATTATCGAAGTATTGGAAAGTTACAAAATAATGTTTCATGAAATTTGGATAGATGATGCTTCATTGGAAAAAAATATTGCAGTTACTTAACTCTTACAATGACCGGAGTCACGGTGCCTTACAGCTTTAGTTCCACGGTCGAGTACTAGAACTCAGTTGACATAAACAATATATGCTTTGCCCTACAAGTTTGCCCTAGAATTTTGTATATATATATGCATATCGTTTTCAGACACCGAGGACCCTCACTGGTGTTACGACAACTTCATCAACTACAGATCGCTCAAGTCCGGAGACAACGTCAGGCAACAGCTCAGCCGCATCATGGACAGGTAAGTACACTACACTACACTACATTACGTGATATCACGCCATACACGGCACTGTACTACACTATTACTTTACTATACTTCATGTAAAGTGTAGTTAAGTCGCATATCACGGATTGCTGTAGGTGTAAGAGATATCTACACTGTGTATATTTAAGGGAAACAGATATTGGGTATGTTCCGATATACACTGCGACCACTGAACAGTATGACGTCAATTTAGTATACTGGAAGCCCGTTCCTTTATAGCTAGTTATACTGGTGACTTTTTAAAACGGAACGCAGTCCAGTATACTGTTAATCCTATTTTTGGCGCCATTTTCAAATTTGTTAATGCAAGGTGAATATAATATAAAGATTCCCTCTTTTCAAAAGAAAATATTATAAAATTGTGTATAAAAAAATTATTTATCAATTAAATCCATCTTATAAATAAACGTAAGTATTTTTTTTTTGTTTATTTAGAAATATCATTTTCTGATTTTGTTTCGACTGATCACGTGATCAAAAGCACTGCGAGCACCTTACCTCGAAATCTCCAGTGCTCACAGTACAAATATGGCGGCAATTTATGACGTCATAAATTTCCCTAGGGTACTGTAGCAGTGTACTGGCAGTCCATAACGGAACGGATTTTTCAGCAGTAAGACCACTGCGCAGTGCTCGCAGTGTATATCGGAACATACCCCAAATAAATTACCAAAATCAGAAGAAACGGCAGTATACTATATATACATATATACTGTAGTGTAATAAAGTGAGTACACTGAATATTTAGTTATTACACTGTATTATAGTAATTTCACGAGTCACCATTTCAATTTAGATAATTAGAGATGTACTAGTTGACCGAGCGACGAGTTGCTGAGTAAATATTTTACAATTTCTATTTTAGAAAGGAGACTAACATACGGCGTGGAGTTGAATCTAAAAAAAATAGATAAAGTCTATCGTTCACATGGTCATAACTCTGTTTCTATTCACCTATGAAGAAAGTACATTTTCTAACTTGTTATATATAATATTTGTTTCAGGTTTAATTTAAAGAGGACAAGTACAGAGTTCACGAGTAAAGACTATTATATTAACATTAGGAAGGCGCTAGTCAATGGATTCTTTATGCAGGTAATTGTGACATTACATTTATCCTTGTTTAGATCTTTACTGTAACTGTATTACAGTCTATACTCGCTTCTCTATAAAATTCTTCTAAATAAAATTCTTCTCTTTTGAATCTATCTACTTATAATAACCGTATCAAAATTTGTTTTATACTATGTAATACTCGTAATACATAGTCAATTATAAAATATTAATTATAAAAGGCACTCGAACCATTATATTTAGAAGTTCGTAGGGAAATTAGATGTCCACATATTGATTTATGATAAGGTATTTATTGTAAAGATGGTTGAATGAGGAAGTCTTTTTTTTATTGTGTCGAACGAGTAACGAAACGGGGCACCGTAGTACAAAGAAATAATGCCCGAATAAGTAGGAATGGAATTACGAAATTTGCATCGTAATTGTCACAATTTTTCTTTGATTATACCAAAAACATGTATCTATAACCCCTGAAATGCATAGATTTCCATTTATATATACATAGGTGTTTTTCAATATTGTTTTGGGACTGGTATTATGGAAAAATTGGAAATTTGAACGTTTCCAATAGTTTCATTCAGTATGAAGTTCGGCGATCGTGGTGATAGAGCGACTGTCGCGTTGGTCTGCCACCGGATGGGTGACCGTGACCGCGTGTGTTAACACTCCCGTTGCGCAGGTGGCGCACCTGGAGCGCACCGGGCACTACCTGACGGTGAAGGACAACCAGGTGGTGCAGCTGCACCCCTCCACCTGCCTCGACCACAAGCCCGACTGGGTGCTCTACAACGAGTTCGTGCTCACCACCAAGAACTACATACGAACAGTCACCGACATCAAGCGTGAGTGTACACACATACGCACACATACACTCACATTGGCCCAATTGGCTAATAGGGAATGTGCACATTTTTGGAAAATGTTTTTATGTGATTAATTTACATCGATATATAAATTTAAAAAAATAAAATTTTGTAACATTAATAAGTGATGAAAATAAGTAATAGCTACGAGCAGTTTAAACACCGTAATTATTGGCGCGCTTGTCGTGACGTCAAAGTACACGACTAGAGATGTGACATTTTAAATCGATATAGATATTGAGTGATTGATTATTATTCAATTACCGAAATCAATTGACAACTAATCGATTTTTTTAAGTATAACAGACTTTTTTAATAAATCATATAATTTACCAAATTGGTGAAATAAAAATAGAAGCCTGAAACATAATATAAATTGTAATCTGTTGTTTAATTTTGCGACATAATACACTGATGTTATTGCATCAATGTTAACTGTTTGTAACAACGACATCCCTTTACGTGTACATTTTCGTCACATCCGCTCTGACAAGTAGCATGGCGTTTAAATATTTTGAAGTTACCGCATTTATTTTGCACTTTTTAATAATTATTTTCAAGACGAAAACGAACTAATGTTGAGAAATATTTACACATACTTTATTCTAAGGCAATAACGATCGTAATAAAATATATTTAACCCTTTTTTGAATTAGTCACATATTCCCTATTTGAAAATCTAACGCAACCCCCACGTTCAACCCAGAAACTATTTAAGATGTTATAGTAATTGCTTTTTTTAAATCTAATGAAGGAACGGTATCATTAATTTGACATTAATTGGAATTGTTTAAGGCGAGCGATAGACGCAAATATGTTTGAAAGCTATTCAGCTTTTGTATTATCTTTAACAATGTAATCAGGTAGTCGCGCTCGGAGTCTTTATTTTTGTTTTATCTGTTGCCCCAAATACATTATTGACATATTTTTATTATTGTTTCTTTACGTGTAAAGACCACAAACGTGATATTGACGGAATTGTGTAAACGCAAATAGGCTATGAATTAAAAAACAGTAGAAGCTATTGAGAAATGTGAAATGAGAGAGTCTTTCGGCGGGTTTCTGTGATGTATGTTTCTTGAATATGCAAATGACCATTAGTTCCAAAAACGATTGTGACATAGTTCTATAAAGAACTTTCAAAATCGCTATACCTTTGAAAGATTACGATAGATTTTGAAAATAGGCAATAGGGCTGCAGGAGCCATATTTTTAAATTTAAAAAATCTCATTACTTTTGATTCCATTTCTAAACCTATTAGTAACATTTTACTGTCTTGTATGTAAAAGCTGATTTTGAGATTTTTGTAAGTATAAAACGGCATTTCAGATTGTCATAAGAATCTAGAATTTCACTTCTAAGAATTTAGTATTTCAAAAATTTTTGGTTAAGCTACGATAATCCAATTGAGAGACTGATTTACATCAACGAAAAACATAAAAATTCACAGTCAACTTGAAAAAATACTTAAAAAATCCACTTTGGCACTTTGTTATGTGCCTTGAACGCATGACCTTTCCCAATTCGGACTACTCTCTGCAGCAATCACCAGGATTGCAAATGAAAAATTGAACAAATACAATAATTCTGTTTGTTTATTATATTCCAGCGGAATGGCTCCTCAAAATAGCACCACAGTACTATGAACTGAACAACTTCCCAGCGTGCGAAGCCCGGAGACAGCTCGAGCTGCTACAAGCGCGGCTCGACTCCAAAGTGTATCAAGACGGTTTCTAGATTAGTGTGTGTACGTACAATGAAGTACGGAGCTGACGAACTGTGTGTGTGTTGTGGTGACATGGAGTTTTATATGAGAAGTGATCGTTTAGTGAAGTTTTAGCAGAAGTTTCTATAAGAAGAAATTGTGGATGTGATTTTAGATTAACAATTCATTGTGAGAACATTGAGAAGTTTGATGTATCGAGGTGACTGTACACTTTATTGTAAACTGTAAAAGACTAGAGCGAAGGTGTGATGAAGAATTTTAATTCTTGTTACTGATACTGTTAAGATTCATATTTGATTGTTACTAGGGAATCGAGCAGAGCATAAATCAAATATGAGTCTTACGATGATTATTATTTTGTTTTGATGTATATTTCTTGTCGCTTATTACATATTTGGGAATGAGAAGGGTTACAGCAGTCAATGTCTCACTCTTGTGACATATAATATGCAATAGAGAGAACTATGCAAGATTATTAAAAATGTTCATAAGAAAAGTATTTATAATTTTCTTTTATAATTATTGATTGCTACTTGATGTAGTTATAAACATAATTTTGTAAAATAACGAGAGCAATAGTTTTGAAGTCGTCTGATATGTAATAATCTCAATTCATTAATGTTATAAACATGGGCATCAAATAGTTTTAAAAAACTTTGCCCTATAAAAACTGTAAACAACTATAGGAAGACAACAAATATATATTTAGAGCGAATACAGCCTATTCATTTACCTGTCGAGTAAAGTTTCCTGTGTATAAAGTTTCCTGAGCAGAGATGATGGATTATAACACAACATATGGGTCCATTAAAGATGGGTGGTTTTTAATGACCATAGATGCAGTGGAATGTTTGTATTGATATTGAAGTTTCGAACTTTGTAAAATTCAGTTAAAAGGAACGGTAATGACTATCTTTGGTCCATATGTTTCCTGCAAAAATCAACTTTTGATAGTCTCCATCTATTGACTTGCTTTTTTAGTGCTTTTTTTTTTAAATACTTTTTATTGAAGTCTACTCTAGGAATATTTTGTGTGACTGATGATGTGGAATTATTAATTAAACGCAAACTTATAATTGTATTCGATCAAAGTATTTGTTTGATTAATATTGCACATTTAAATGGGTATAGTTTGTAGTGAAGAGTATTGATAAAATTTAAGTGTCGACAGGATCTCAGCAAAAATACAATAATATCAATGGCGTAGATCTTAATTTGCATTTAAATGCTTCAAACTTCACCAGTCCCATGCTCCTGAGATGGACTTAGACATTCAACACAATGAGTTTAACGATATCTAAAATTAATATAGAAACTTTTATTTAATTCTTCTCTGCCTTTTTATCTCTCTCTGACTTTGAATCTTCTCTGTATGCGAGGGAAGAGTGAGATGCGTTCTATACTGTATTTAAAATCGATCCTGTCAAAAAGCAATATGCGAAAATAATGAATTGATAGGCAAATAACGAAGCAACGGTAATAAATGCCAGTGCAATTGGCGCACTTGTTTTCTCAGCCATAGAGTTCAATTCTGTTTGTAGTCATAGTACGCTGCCACGCCTCGTGTATGATCGAATTTTGTAAATATTTTTAGAACGATAATATTATTACTGATCTAACAAAGAAATAAAAAAAAAAACAAAATTAATATACTATAATGGGGTTTCAAAATAAAAAGTTTTAAGTACAACCAGTGTCCGGGTGCAAGCATTGCTCTAAATATACAGTGTAAAATGTTTTGATTTTTTACACATATGTAATATTGAAAAATAATAAAAATTGCTATCTTAATTTTACAAAAGGTGAATAAAACAAATATTCTTGATTGAATATTCAAATAATAATATTACATCTTTGGGGCGCATTACCGAAGTCATCGATAAGTAGGTACTAGAAGATTAGACCATCATCGATGCGGCACCCGGGTGTATCGCACCCCCTGCACCATTGGTAAAGACGGGCCTGCGTATTTATCGTAACAAAGTATACGAAACTGTGTTAAGTGACGTTAAGTTCCATGAAATGGATCAATATTCAGCTTTCGGCAGGCTCCCCGGGTGCATCACACCCCTTGCAGCTTCCAGCTAAAGACGGTCTTGGTTACGAGAATAAAAGAATAATCATATAAGATGTCATCGGGACATCTACACTCAGTTGAGTTTTAAGATTGCATATTTAAGGTTAAATATATCAAATTCTGACAATTCAGTTCTGTTTTCTTTATTATATCGAAAGTCCAGTTAAGTTAATTTCACTTCGAATTGACAGATAATAAGCTGGCAACACGTATATAAAGGTCAAAGTATTTAATCTCTGCATTTAAAGCTATAATGATGTTAATATGTATTAAAAGATATTAAGGATTACAATAAAACTATAAAATATCTAACATCCTCTTTTATTACATCAAATAAATTATAAAGTTCATAGACAATAATTATTATTTTTAATTATTTCATAATATAAAAAGCGCATGCTCTTATAGCGACACATTCATGTAGGTACGTAACTTAAAGCTTATACAATTTTGTAATCATTACTGAGTGTTTAGTTCACGAGAACATGATTACATTATAGTCAACATACTAATAAACATTATTTATTTTTAGAAACTTGTCTGGCAGTTTTATTGATTTTAATATTGATACTTTTGAAATGATTATTTAGTACTACGGGAGGTGATGGGTTGGTGAAGAAATGGAATGGAAATGGAATAAATAGAATTTCTTCACTAAATAACGTGAATATGGACACATGAGTATTAAACTTATGTATATAACTGTGTATTAAACTTGTTCTGTAAAAACCAGAACTATTTTTAAATCGCAGAATGATTGCACAAACATGATACAATATGCAATAATTAAATAATGTTTATTAGCACGAAAGATCTTTATTTCACTTACTCTTACTTAACCATTTAAGAAAATCTACCAAAAATTAAATTATTTCATCTAGCAACACGAGATAAAATGACAGTGTTTACAGCACATTCCTGATAGATTTTCCTAATTCGCATAATAAACCTTTAATACTGATTATTAGGTCGTTAAATGCGTTGCTTTCAGTTCTACCGCGTTAAATTGTCTACCAAAATGGTAGAAAGTTGAATAAATACGGAATGCATAAAATGTATAATTATAGCATTTTATATTTACTACAGTATCTTAATGTTCTTAATTCTAAAATTTACAACGAAGGCTAAAGCATATTTAGCAACGAAATAGCAATAAATATCAATTAGTATGTTTGTTTTTACAAAAGTGATTTAAGAATTATGATATTTTAAACTAAGGCTTTGCTTGTTGTAAATGTTAATATAATTAGCGGTGTAATATTTAAATATAACAATATATTTAGAGAATTACTCATCATATTAAATTTAAATTATCATTTTGGTAATGTGTTTAGCTTAATCACGATCAATAACCAAATGTCGTGTCAACCTAAACAAAATTAATTTAAAATGACAGTGACAAACATTAAATTAGTACCTAATTTATAGGTACAATGAAAAATATATATAAATAACATCTACAAAAAAGTTAATTGGCAAGAAATTTAGGGTACTTAAATTACTTTGACAAATAAATCATTATCATTAATAGTATTTGTTGTGTGAATCTAGCCTCATAATTAAAAAACAACGGTACAGAGAAATCAATCATGAATTTATATAGTTTTAAATAATACTTATAGCTAGCAATACTCTATTACAATAATACTAAGTCTAGAAATAATATAAATATTATATAATTACAAATGAACACATATTTTAGTGATTAAATAAAGAACTAATTTTAACCGTTAAAATAAATGCAATTCATTTTTATAAGTATATCCTTGAGTATGTCGTAAGCGTTTCTACTAAAAAGTCTTATATATAGGTACACTAGGTTTTTTACAAAATATTAAAAAAGGTGAGGATATCTTCATGGTATATAGGTAATTTTTATATAAATTCATCGGATATTACTTAAATTGTGTCTTTGATGAAAGTAATTCAATAAAAATCAATCGTAAATATTATGGATTTATAGGTTTATTTTAGGTTCTTAAAAATAAGTATATTATTGGTGGGCTGGCGCACAAAACACGAAACTATGTTGGCGCCCAAACATGGTGCTGTTTTGGCGCCCAAACGTGGGACTTAACTTCGACCAATTATGATGATTGTATCACAAATGGACACTTAAGTAATATCTGATAATGTAAAATAGCAATTTATTATCTACTCTATTTAAGTAAAATGTTTATACAAACAACTAGGGTTTAGGCCGAGACTACTCTTGTGTAAATACTTACTTCCCAAAGATTAAATTCGTTATGTCCATCATCATTTATTTCTTTAAGATAATGTATTGTGAGTATAATATATTAAATAAAAATGTATCTCAAAAACTGTATTCCAAACGGATTTCAGATTTAAAATTATTGTCTATTGCGGTCTCGTTGGTATTGCCCCTGTTTCACTAAAACTACTTAGGTTGGTACTTTCCTTCTTATTGAATGGCTACCAACATGGTAAACTTCCTTTCTTATTTATGAATTTATTGAAAAAGTTTTAAGAAATGGCGTCTTAATTGGTAACGATGTAAGTTAATGTAAGCTATATGTTTTGAATACACCTCAGTGATACTGTGCAAATCAGTTGTTTTGTTGTTACACGATCTGGGTGCTCTCGTCGCTTTGACGATAAGGTACATTTCATAAACTTATTAGCATTTGGAAAAAACGAAATGGCAGCAAACATCACTAGGAAATGGCGGCGGATTCTTATTTTCTATTAAAAATAACTTAAAGGTTGGTATCGAACTACCTCAAAATCGCTGTGGCACCATCGACTCGATTTAATATTAAAAGGCTGAAATTGTGTTGGACTTAGGTCATCAATTTGAGTAGGACTTCTTTACGAGTGGAACAAAATATTTATACTTTGTCTCTATTAGTAATTAAAATAGCTCGAAAAAGTATATAACAGTGCCTTGCGTAATATCGATTGTCGCAGTGATCGAGTGGTAGTCGCGACTGGGCGTTGATGGTCGGCCTCAGTGCAGGAAGGGCGAGTTGCGCGGACACTTCTTGCCGCACGCACACTTCCGGACGATTTCTATTTCTTTCGTGTACCGCGTGCCATCCGGACACACTAGGCGGATCTGGAAACAAATTGTTTTAAATGGAGTGTATTTATGGTTTGATATTTAATTTTTAGTTTTTAAATCAATTTACATTCAGTGAATTTGCTATGATATTACCGTAAGGAAAGGTTGATGTTTGCTGATAGAATGAGGAGGTATTTAAAAAAAACATTAGTTCCCGATTTCAAACTAGATGTCGCTACGGTACGTTCTTGATTTCTCCACGACAACCCTTCCGGTTTTCTTTCACGTTTAAAAGTAAATTACTTTTCAAAACTCAATAAACAACCCATATTCTATTTGTATTTTTCGTATGTGTATTGATATCTAAGTTTCGAACTTTTCAAATTTCAGTTTTTTAATATGTTAATTAAAAGGAACGGAAATCGTTTTTTTTTAATATTTCCTCATTGTATATTTTAATATTTCCGTGTATAACGGAACAAATCCATCATCATCATCATCATCATCATCATCAGCCCTTTTATGTCCCCACTGCAGGGGCTCAGGCCTTCCTTATGGATGGTTAAGGAGGATGGGCCCTGACCTTCCACGCTGGCCCAATGCGGATGGAGGGTATTAACGACTGCAAATGCAGCCGGGACCAATGGCTTAACGTGCCTTCCGAAGCACGGAGTAGCTCGAGATAATAATTTTTTAGTCACCCATCCCATGACCGACCCCTGCGAAAGTTGCTTAACGACAACGATCGCGGGCTGCGGCGCTTAACCACTACGCCACCGAGCTACTCGGTGACAAATCCATATTGAAAAAAAAAGAAAAAAATATATTGTGAACATGCCCAAATAGCCATTGGTATCTCAGGCGGGAAAAATTATTTTTTATATTAATTTGTCAAAATAAGCTGAAGGCATTTTTACACGCTGGGAGAAAGGAACGGTGAAAAGAAAAAAAATAAATTTAAGCGGATTTGGTTTAGATGTGTAAGCGTAATAGACAGTTACAATATTATTAGAGATTAGTAATTAAAAGTACATAATGTAAAGCTAATAATATTTCGTGATTTATTCAGGTAATTTTTTTTTAAATAATGAGCTTTGAATGTGTCAAGTTTAGAAGATACACCGTGGCGCTGCTTCCAACACTTCCAACTAATATTTATTTGAGCGAATTTCTGACCGTTGTCTCATACTGATAAGTAAGGGATTAAATGATGACCTGAATAGTTATTTGAATTGTGTAGTGTAGTGCATACCTTTCTCTTCTTGGTCTTCCGAGGCGCGCAGCAGGAGGCACGCGCGCACGCCCCCGCCCCCGCGCCCGCCCCCGCCCCCGCCCCCGCGGCCACGCAGCGCGCCCCGCGCACCGCGCGCCGGCTGCGGCACCCGCCCGTCGTCACCACCTCGCGCGTCACCTCCTACATACCCACCAAATCAAATCAAATCAAAATTATTTAATCAGTCTAGGCTGTTACGAGCACTTGTGAAAGTCGAGAGCTACGCCATCGGTTCGTAAATCTACTACGGTAGACCTTGTACCGAGAAGAACCGGCAAGGAACTCGACAAGGGCTGCTTTTTTCTCCCTGTTTTATTTCATACAGAGCGTCAAAATTACTATGTTTATTGTGATTATTAATATTTTTTCTAACAAAAGGTAAGGTAAAGTAATGCAATTGTATATAAACAGAGGCCACTGTTAATATCCCAACTTCTTTGAATTGATCTCTAAGTGATTTTCTTCAACCCTACTAATAAATAGCCCTTACTGCTCTTTTTAGTAAAATAAGACATTAGAATGCCATATGACATAACGCTATGGAAATAACTAAAGTATATTGTCCTAGCGGTATCTACATCTGTAAGTTGCCTAATTTTTCTTATTGCAAAGGCAGCTGAACTTGGTTTTCCTGCCAATAATGAAATGGATGCCATTGCAACTGAGAGTACAGCATTAAACCCAAGAAGATTGTCAACCAACTCGAGCTTTTCATCATTAAGTTTAATTTTTGTTAGTTCAGTTTTTACATTAGGTAACATAAACTTTATACACTTCGAATTTTTAGCATTTAAATGGAGATTATTTACAGGAAACCAGGTCATAATCTGTGAGAGAGCATTGCTTACATCGTCAAAGTCATTTTTACATCTATCAATATTAAATATTAAAGAAGTATCATCTGCAAATAATACTAAATCGCATAAAGTTTCGATAAAGAATGGCAAATCATTTATTTATGATAGAAACAAAAAGGGACCCAGAATAGATCCTTGGGGAACCCCCATTTTTACTTGTGAACCAGATGATCTCGTACTGTTTATATCGATAGTTTGAGTTCTGAGGTACGACAATATTAGTGGTATAATTATTTATAAGAGTTGGGTCAGAGATGTGCTGGAGCATTGTTCGGTGGTTTGGTTATAAGTTTCGAGCGAGAGTGTCGGAGTTGTTGCGAGATATGCGTAGCCTGTTGTGTTTTCTGGGTATAGTTTTATTATTGTTAAATTTACCATTTTACTACACCATTCAATAGAGAATTTCAAGCTGCATCTACTAATATAACCCATTTCGTTTTTGTGCAAATTGTCAGTTAACAGGTTTTACCGGCACGGGTACGGTTTGTAGTCGCGCTCGATTTAATGTTGTATTCGTTACGAAATGTGTATGCTGATTTCTCTCTCTGTTTTGATAACATCGGATATATAATAAAAAATATGTCTCATAAAGTTTATAATTGCTTGCTTGCTTCTTTATATACAGCTCCTGTCCATGGAGGTCGATGACCGTTTTTTGTCAATATACCCCCGGTTTGTTCCCTCCTAATAAACTAAATATGAAAATGTCAATAAATTTTTAAAGTATAAATTAAAACATAAATTTTAATATGAACGCTACACTGAAACTGCATCGGTTGCCTGACTTATTACTATTTCATATAAAATTAATAAACATAATTGTGGCGATAGGTTACCTTCCGGCAGGCGGTGACGGGCGCGGACGGCTGCTGCTGCTGCTGTTTGTGCGCAGGCGCGGCTGCAATGAAAATAAACGCTTATTGATCAATATCCAATTTACGGTTTAAATCATTACAGCATAGGGACTTTGATTCATTGGAGACTCTACAAAAATTATTGCCGTTTCTGACGAACATAAATTACCTATATTATGTTCGACCGTATCTTATTATGGTTTCGTTAATGAGGATTTATAATAAAATACGATAAGAAATATATATATTGAAAGTACTTTTATAGGTCACCATTACCTAAGAAAAACTTTTAACAGAAGGAATTAATTTTACTTGGTGAATATTATTAAAATGTAAATGTATGATTTATTGAAGTCATATTTCTCACCGGGAGATGCCTGCACGTTGCTGATGAGGAAGGGCTTGCGTGGAGGTAGTTTACTCTGACTGATCACCGGAGCGCCCCCTGCGATGTGAATATTATGATTACATAAAACGACTAGTGTTGTATGCACATGACGGTGAGTGGAAAAGTGGGATTGTGAGTGTTAGTTAAAGCACGTGTATAATGTAAAAGGTAGTCCGGTAGCCGAACAGAGATAATATCGTACGTCGACCCTTGCGCACATTTATAGATACAGTAAACATTTACAGCGTTATTAATAAACAAGGTTTAGCGATGGAGTAAATTTACGCCGATACTTTACTTAGTATTAATCAAAATAGTACGAGATTTTACGGAATTAATATTTACACCTAGAAGGTAGGAGGTTTGTTTATTCTCTGTATAATATGAATTTGGAGTAATATTAAAATTACAATTTTAGCGTAAATTAACTCTGACGCTAAACCTTGTTTATTATTAGCACTGTTAAGGTTCATTTTACTATGACAGAATTGGTTAGGTTAGGTTAGGTCGTTAGTATCTAAGCGAGCGCAGCAGCAATGCCAGACCGTGGTGTAACTGTGTGCGTGTGCATGTGTACGTACCCACGGAGGTGCGCAGCTCGCACTGCGCGCCGGCGGTGCCGGGCCGGCAGCGGCACGTGTAGTCGGAGGGGGAGCCCTCCTCGCGCACGCAGCAGCAATGCCAGACCGTGGTGTAACTGTGTGCGTGTGCATGTGTACGTACCCACGGAGGTGCGCAGCTCGCACTGCGCGCCGGCGGTGCCGGGCCGGCAGCGGCACGTGTAGTCGGAGGGGGAGCCCTCCTCGCGCACGCAGCAGCAATGCCAGACCGTGGTGTAACTGTGTGCGTGTGCATGTGTACGTACCCACGGAGGTGCGCAGCTCGCACTGCGCGCCGGCGGTGCCGGGCCGGCAGCGGCACGTGTAGTCGGAGGGGGAGCCCTCCTCGCGCACGCAGCAGCAATGCCAGACCGTGGTGTAACTGTGTGCGTGTGCATGTGTACGTACCCACGGAGGTGCGCAGCTCGCACTGCGCGCCGGCGGTGCCGGGCCGGCAGCGGCACGTGTAGTCGGAGGGGGAGCCCTCCTCGCGCACGCAGCGCCCGCCGCGCGCGCACGGGTTCGGCACGCACGGGTCCTGCAACCATATCACCACTAACAATACAGGTCAACTCAAGATCGCAATTATTTTAATGCTATGTGCAACGAGTGAACGAAATCCCTCGAGATACGCTGTGCATTAACGATGATAATATGACTTTTTTAAATTGTTAGTACGTGTGAGAGAAAAATCTCAGATTGCCAAAAAAAAGAGATTTTTTTCAATGGAAATTATGTCTGGAATCCGTGTTTTTGTGTAATATAATGGAGTAACGCGGCCGACCTGCGTGTGCTTGGCGTCCCCCTGCGGCGCGGCGGCGGCGGCGGCGGGCGGCGCGTCCTCCTCCCCGCATCCCGCCGTCTGCCGCTGCATGCGCACCGCGTTGCCAAAGTCCACGCGCTTGTGGTTTATCCACGCCTCCTTCAGACACCCTGCAGAAAATTGGTACTTAATAAAAATCATTGCACAATTTCGGACACCCAGCGGCACGTCTAGGTTATCACTTTCGAGCCTCGAATTAAGACTCACGTATCCGCATGAATCCATCAATCCATCCGGATTTAATCTGATATCCTGCAAGGAGCGCAATTTCTGTTGCCCTAGACTGCAACCTAATTGCCCTGCCGGTGACCACCCCTGATATGTACAGTAGATGCTTACTAGCGATCGAATGTATTGAAAACTTTATAAAAAGTTACCGAATAAAAATATTTAAATCAAATATTGATTGATTCAATAAGCAGTTTTACCTTTACGCTGCTGGAAGTTAATGAAATTCGTAAAGATTGTCTAACCTCTGAAACTGGTGACATTCCTGAGGTGCCATCTTCCGAAGGCGGTTTTGGCGACGTCCTCCGGCACTCCGCCCAGATACATCGGGCTCTCCAGCCGCAGATACTCCTTACTGCCTGAGGAGGAAACCAACTTTTATACTTGTTGTAAGGTCTAGTCTGTGAGACTATTTTTTTATATTGTAATGTATATTAAACATTTAGTTATAAGTGCGGAAATACATATTAATAAACAATGACATTGGAATTTGGTGTGAATTAAAATAAATACTAACTTATTGCTGAATTACCTTAGTTTTCAATATTTACCTTCATTGATGATTGACCTCGCCGGACCGTCGTCTACGCGTAGAGTGAAGTTCTTTTTGATCGCCAGAAGTTCCGCCTTGTGATAATTACCGTCTGAGACCATTTCAAAACTAAAAATAAACATATTTATATTAGATATAATAGTTTGAAACAAAATTATTACTGATAAGGTATTATCGTACTATTAAGGTTACTTATTTTGGCAAAAAAAGGAATGGAAACGTTTGTCATAATTGGGTTTTAGCACTCCAGTGATAAAAAACGGTGGGTCTTATTAGACGACATTACTTTCTAATTAAACTTAGGTATGTGAACCAAAATAAAATTACAGATTTTACTGTTTTTTTATTGTTCAAAGACTTTATTTTATTTACAATAAATCTATCTCAAAGCTACTTAGCTTTGAGCAAGTTTACTTAAACTTGACATAAAAACTTACACCACTGCTGTAGAATAGTATAAACTTGAGTTGTAGAGTCAGTGAGTGAGTATGTAATTTGAGAATGAATGAATAGTATGTATAATGTGTGAGTTAGTAATGTGTATTTTTGTGAGGAATGCGATAGTTAGTGTACAGTATAGAAGATTAAAGTATCAATAGGTATGTGCATACTAATTAATATCTAGTTTTTGGTATCTGCGACATAAGTGAGTGTGTGTATGATCAATAAGAGAGTGAGTGTGCAATATATCAAAGTGTTTATTGTGTGTCACATTACAAACAACGAGGTGTGAGAAAGTGAAGGCTTGAGAAAGTATGGGCTTGAGTGAGTAGTTGTGTATATGTGTGAGCCGTGAGTGAGTGAGTGCGCACCTGTACATAGTAGAGGTGGGATGGTTGCCGACGTCGTAGCTGACGCGCACGCGGCCGTTGAACAGTTCCACGGCGAGGTGCTCGTTGTCTCCGAAGTACATGAGTACACCGTGGTGTTGAGTCGTGCTGAATACTAAAAACATATGTAACAATAAATGCTTAATAGAAATCACTTAATATAAATCAATCATTACAATGATATGTACATGGAATTACCTAGTGTTACGTTGGCTTGTGGTTGTGTGCGCAGTGGTTCTAACTCGACCCAAGAATCGTTGTGATTGAATGTTAGGGAAGTGAGATATTCGCAGAAACGGCCTGTTGATAAAAAAAAAAATTTAATTACTAAATAATACAGACAATAATATATTATACTGATTAAAAAGCGACAAAACATAATTGGTGGCCTTTCAAGAAAATTGCCATTGCAAGTGAGGATAACGAAAAATCTCAATCTCCATGCATATTTCGATTGAGGCTACAGGTTAATGGTTTGGAGGTTTCTGACATATTATTCGAACTCTATATACTTTGCAAACGCTGTGCGTGCAATACGCTTTGTCGAAGACATGGTCACCGTGAAATATCGGATTTGTTAATTGATGAGCAAAGAGAATTTAAACTCTGAGTGTAACACATTTGGTATGAATAGACAATTTCAAAATTATATTGATAATAATGTAAATAACTTCAATTATCTATACTATAACATTATAAAGCTGAAGAGTTTGTTTGTTTGTTTGTTTGAACGCGCTAATCTCAGGAACTACTGGTTCGAATTGAAAAATCTTTTTGTGTTGAATAGACCATTTATCGAGGAAGGCTTTAGGCTATATAACATCACGCTGCAACTATTAGGAGCGAAGAAATAATGGAAAACGCGGACGAAGTCGCTGGCGGCCACTAGTTGATGATATAATGTTTACGCTATTTTTATAGTGGCTTTTAATAATCCTTCACTAAGTGTATTTAATATGTACCTTTGTCGGCAGCTTTGCTCAGTATGTCATATATAGTTTAACTCACCCGAGTATCCGGGTGCACATTTGCACAGGTAGTCTCCGGCATGTCCAGCTCGCTCCATCATAATGTCGTCCTGCGGATCAGCCACTGACATTCACTTATATTATAGTATTGAAGTCAATAACTATAAATAATATTATTTTATTTCTTGATTATTAAAATTTCATTATATTTGATTATGTTTAATTTTATTATAAAACAAACAACATTAATGAAAAATGCTTTTTATAGCATTCTAAATGCAAATGTAATCACAATAGGAATCCGATAATCCTGACACTTGAAATTATAATTTTTGATATACAGACTTATAATACATATTGACATTGTTTCGGGTTGGCACAAAAGTAATGAGACACTTGGTTTAAGTTTTTACTTTTTTATTATTATTACAATAAAAAAAGTTTAGTCAATGATGTAATTACCATTAGTATCTAAGACTTCTTGTCAACGATCCGGCAAAGTTTGGATGCCTTTTGCCCAGAACTCTGATGGCTGTGCCTCGAAAAAGTTGTTCAACTCCGCCTCTACGTCAGAGAAATCATTAAATTGTTTACCCCGCAAATGCTGTTTCAGGGCTCTAAACAAATGATAGTCTGATGGGGCGAGGTCTGGGGAATAAGGTGGGTGGGATATCGTCTCCCAGCCCAAGTTCTCCAACTGCCGGCGAACCACAGATGCGACGTGAAGTCGTGCGTTATCGTGCAGTAAAACTACATTGACTCGTCTTCGTCGTTTTTTCTTGATAGCGGCAGATAATTTGGTAAGCTGGGTTGAATATTTGTCAGCGTTTATAGTTTCATTGTGTAATAGCTCATAAAACAGTATGCCTTGCGCATCCCAGAATCAGCAAAGCAGAATTTTTCGGCGGTTCTTTTGACTCGGCTTCGGTTGAGTTGGTGGCGTTTCTTCTCGAGGCAGCCAAAAAGCACGACGTGTATCGTTCTCGTAATAAATCCATGATTCATCTCCAGTAACCAAATCTGACAAAAACTCTTTACGTCGGGTTCGCAGCAAAAGTGACTGACAGATAGCGACACGGACTGCACGACTGGCGTCTGTAAGGATGTGCGGTACCCACCGAGCCAAAACTTTTCGATAATCAAGCTCATGCAGATGGTGTTCCACGGCGTGGTGACTGGATTTAAGTGCTTCCGCTAATTCACGAGTGGTAGCATCCGGATTCAACTGCAGTTCGCGGCGCAAATCGTCATCATTCACTGCGGGTGGTCGCCCTGAGCGTGGCTGACTTTCAAGGCTCCTGTCTCCTGATTTCAAACGGTCAAACCATCGGGACACCGTCGCATGGCTTGTACTTCCAGCGCCTAATGCATTGTTGATATTGTCAGCCGCAGCCCGCGCATTGTGGCCTAACAAGTACTCGTATAAGTATTGTGTTCGAACTTGTCGCTCGTTCATTTTTCTTCAAACTGACTAAACAAATCGCGAGCGCGGCTTTATATACCCTACACCAGAAGTACCTAGAATGTTCTACAACATTCTAGAATATTATCGAAAAAATTGATTTTAAAAAGGAAATGTTATAGATTTTTCTAGTGTCTCATTACTTTTGTGCCAACCCAATAAATTCAATAATAGTTAAATAATAAGGCTTTATAAATTTGCATGCGTAGTAATAGGTGAAACATAATGTACAAATAAAAAATAACAATGTTTTCTTATTAACCATGTTTGTGGCAAATGAATGAAAAACATATCAAATAAGAAAAACAGTTTTAACAGTATAACATAGCACATGAATCAGTGAAGTTTATTTTGTTGTAAAATTGTAGTGGTGCTAATGTTGTTCCTTGGGGTACATCAAAATGTAAAGTTACTATAATTGATTTAGTTTTTTAAAAGGTTATTTAACTTTGTTGCAGGTAAAATTGTGTTAATTTTGAATTAAAACTCGATAGCAAATTCGGACAAGATACTCGTAGATAATGCTTTAGCATTATATAAATTCATCCTAAAAAAAATACATATTAAAATGTATCTATCCTAAATCTAATATAAAAGATTAAATGTAAAAATTCATATATTATATGTATAATATGTTTAATTTATAAGATTTCTTGGAAATAAAACTTAATTGCGTTGCTCTGTAAGAGAATTGTTTATTGAGAAACAATATTTCATTTACAATATTTTACAATAATAAATTTTAAACCTATAAATCTTACCTGTAAGAGAAACAACATTTAATGCTATTATTTCACTATTCCTTTTTATATTAGTTTAATTAATTTAATAAAAATAAACTTATAATTATTATTTCTAAATGTAACCATCTTTCTCAGAGATTAAATAAATACCACAAAGTAAATCATAAAACATTAGTAAGCATGCGCGGTAGTTTAAATAAATTACTCTTTATTTACATCTCCCCTCCCCCTCAAAAAAAATTTTTTTTTTATCTTAGTCTATTTTATTACAGGCACAAGTTTCGTTATATGGAATAGATTTGACTCGCATCTTTTTCGCCCTGTATCTATTCTATATATTGTCTTGGATAATTTTTCCACAATTTTGTATGGACCAATTTTTATCTCATCCAATTTTTTTCGATTCAATCGATTTCCATTTTCAACATATACAGCGTCTCCTACTTCAAATTCACAGTATACCCTATTTTTGTCAAATTTTTTCTTATTATAATTGTGTGATTTTATAGTGTTTTCTAATGCAACTTTTCTGTCTTTTTTCAAATCATTAAATGTAACATTTTGTTTCAGTTCTTCTGGCAAGACATCAACATTTTTTCCTTCCAGTAAATATTTTGGGGCAAACCCTGTCACCGTGTGTTCAGTCTCATTGTACTTTTCCGTACATTCATGAGCAATAGTAGTCCAGGCTTTTTTTTCTTTATTTTCATTTATTTTACATCTTATTTTGTTTGTTAAAGTTTGGTTTAATCTTTCATTTAATCCATTTGAAAATGGGGCATTCACTGCTGTAAAAATAATTGGTATTTTTTGGGTATCTAAATAGTTTTTGAAATCTTTTGAATTTATTCCAGGATATTGATCTGATAGTATAAGACCTATTTTGTTTATATGTAACACCCTTTGTATTAATTTTATGAAATCCTGTGAATTTTGTGTTTTGGACGTTAATATATAGGCAAATCTAGTAAAATGATCTACTAATAAATGTAAATAAGTTTTTGTAGAACGTCTACCTCCAAATCCACCAACTGTATCTATGGATACTATTTCAAAGGGATACATAGCAGGTCCTAAGTGAGACATTAGTCCAAAGTTACATTTTTGTCTAGATTTGTTTTTAATACAAGTCTCACAGTCTTCGCAGATTTTTTTAATATTATTTGTTAAATTTCTTGCTGTGTAATGTTGTTTAATTTTTCTATTCATTTGCTGTATCCCAATATGACAATAATGATAATGTATATTTCTTATTAATTCTTTACTAAATTCTTCTGTAAGTATAATCTTTTCTCTCTTCCTGACACTTTTATAATAAATTTTATTTTTCAAATGCATATTTTTACCGTTTTGTTTTATTTCTTCATTATTTTGTTGATCTCTTTGTATGTCTTTTATTTTGATAAGATTAACTATTTTTAAGGTTTCCTCTTGATCTTCATATGGTTCTAAAACAGGATTTCTACTCAAACTATCTGCTTCCAAATTATATTTTCCTGGGGAATATATTACTTCAAAATTGAACTGCGATAGATAATAAGTTAGGTCTCCAAGTTCATCGTCTGTTCTCGCTTTTATATTCATTTTTTCGAGAGGCTTATGATCTGAGAAAACAGTGAACTTTTTTCCGATAAGCCAGAAGTACCAATATTTTACTGCTTCTTTTATTGCTAAGCACTCTAGATAAATCGCTTTTTTCTTTTTTTGTGATTCATTTAACTTTCTCGAAAAATATGCACATGGTTTTTCTTCTCCGTTCTTTTGTGGTTGTTTTAATACAGCACCTAGGCCCTCTATACTGGCATCTGTATAGATATGGATTGGTAGATCTGGATCATAAATTGTTAGTATTGGTTTTGTGCATAGTAGTTTTTTTATATTGTCAAAACAATCTTGACATTTTTCTGTCCAAACGAATTTTTGTCCTTTTCTTAGCAAATTATGAAGTGGGTCTAATATAATCGATATGTTTGGTACATATTTTCCATAAAAATTGATTTTTCCTAAAAATTGCCTCACATTTCTTTGTGTTTTTGGTATGGGAAATTCTTTGATTGCAACCAAATTATCCTTTAATGGGGTTATTCTATTATTTTTTATTATATGACCTAAATATTTCACTGAATCTTGCGCAAAATTACATTTCGAGAATTTTAATCTAAAACCTTCTTTTGAAATTGCTTCCAGTAGTAATGATAAGTGTTTAATATGTTCTTTAAATGTTTTTGAGAAAATTAATATGTCATCTATATAATTTACCGTAAAATCTGATAATTTATGTTTTCGTATAATATTACTAAGTATTCTTTGAAATATGGCAGGGGATGTTTTTAAACCAAATGGTAAGCAGGTCCACTGAAAATGCCCTTCTTGAGTAACAAATGCTGTCTTCGGCCTGTCTTCAACTTTCATTGGAATAGACCAAAATGCTGAATTTACATCTAGCGTCGAAAAAAATTGACAATTTCTTGTTTTTATCATTAGGTCCTCAATTAATGGGAAAGGTTGTGATTGAGGAACAACAATTTTGTTAATGTCACGAAAATCTACACATAATCTTGTTTTTTTCCCATCTTCCTTTTTAAAAGCCAAAGTTACAGGAGCTCCGAAAGGACTATAAGACTCTTCAATCAAATTATATTGTAGTAGTTTTGCAATTTGTTTTTCAATCTCTTTCTTATCTTCAACACTGCATCTGTACGGTCTCTTGTTACAATATTTATCTACCAACAAATCTATATGTGCTTCATAGCCCTTTACAGTACCAATATCATATTTGTCTTTTGCAAAGAGTGTTTTATATTTACATATTAATTCATCTATTTCCGTTTGTTTTTGTAGATCTAGATGATTGACTGTAATTTCAAAGTTTTTCTTTTCCATGTGTTCGTTAAAATTTATCATATATTTATGATTTTCTTCTATAATCTTTTCCAAATTATTCTTTTCTTCATCGTTGTTATAAGATTTAATTTTTTCTTTAGTTTGATCACCCGTACAGCCGGGAATATATATATTTTCTCCTACTGAGTAAACCTCATCATTATTTCTTTCTTGAAGATTATTTATAATTTGTTTTATTTGTAATTTCTCATTTTAGTATTTAACAGCCATAAAAATGTTGTTTTATAATATGTTTAATTTATAAGATTTCTTGGAAATAAAACTTAATTGCGTTGCTCTGTAAGAGAATTGTTTATTGAGAAACAATATTTCATTTACAATATTTTACAATAATAAATTTTAAACCTATAAATCTTACCTGTAAGAGAAACAACATTTAATGCTATTATTTCACTATTCCTTTTTATATTAGTTTAATTAATTTAATAAAAATAAACTTATAATTATTATTTCTAAATGTAACCATCTTTCTCAGAGATTAAATAAATACCACAAAGTAAATCATAAAACATTAGTAAGCATGCGCGGTAGTTTAAATAAAGTACTCTTTATTTACATATGTAAGGAAGATTGTGTTATTTTTGGACTTATACAATTATCAAACAATTTATATTTCATTGTTTGTATACTATAAGGATCATTATTAAGTCCAGTATTTTATCTTTAATTTAAAAAATTAATAAATACATTTAAAATTCTTATGCGTCTCTCTCATTTGTTAAACAAATTAATAATTATGGGTAAACATCTCACGTAAAAAAAGGTAAATAAAGCTAAATAAAATATTAATATTGTACCGTATAGAATAGATTATTCTTAATGTGTCTGCTATTTTTTATAATGTGTGTCGGTTTTATTTTCCTCTTTGCACTATCCCATAATGTTATCATTGACTTTGCATAAGCAATGTTATTTTTCCTATTTTTGTAAACATCTAATATTAAAGTTGTATATCTTGGATTATAACCAGAGGTCGGAATTAGGTAGAGTTATTTATGTACTTGCATCGAAATGTTGATATTATTGTGGACCTTCCCGGGATTTCTTTATTTCTTCTTTCTTTCATTGATGTAAGTTTGGCAACGTCGTGCGTGCAGTAGTTTAAATTGTGTAAAAGTAAATAACTTTTTATTTAAAAAATCACGGGATTTTTTCTGCTCTTTAAAATTAATCTCGGGATTTGAGGCATATCCACTTTATTCTTTCGCTGTATGAAATCAGTGTAAGTACATGAATAACTCTACCTAATTCCGATCACTGATTATAACCGATATTATGGTGATGCGTGTGCGTGTGTGTGTGTATGCGTGTAATAATGTGTTTATTGTATACCTGTAGCGCGGCGACGGGCAGATAGCAGACGCCGTGCAGGCAGTCGTGGTGCGCGCAGGGCGAGGTGCCGAGCGCCGCGTGCGGGGCCGCCTCGCAGTAGCGGCCCGCGTACCCCGCCGCGCACGCGCAGCGGTACTCGTCCAGCCCGTCCACGCAACTGGCGCCGTTCTGTATGTACACACACAACAAGTCTACGTTATCTCGTTCAGATTATACATTATTTAAATCATACGAGAAAGTATATAGCCTGAAAACTATTTCAAGCTCCGGAAATCCTGATTCGAGTGTTTACGGTATTTATTTATTTATTGCATTCCACAACATAGTATTAGTATATTTATAAAAAAAAAACAAACGTATCATTATGGACCCCGTCGGCCACAGCAATTCGGAGAGAGGGGAGGACACTGCTTTAAAATATAGGAAATAAGTATTTCATTTCTTTTATAAACTAAATAGTTTATGTTTTAAAAATTTAACAAATGTTTAAATTAAGTAGATATTAAAATTAAAATACAAAAGTAGAATATTATATTTGAATTAGAGTTAAAGTTTTTCACTTAGATATTCTTGTATGGTATAATAATTCTTTATAGTTAATAAATTCTTTATTTGTTTTATGTAATATTTTTCTTTAACATTTTTATTGAGTTCGGTAGATTGTTGTATATTTTTATTGACATTGTCAGTGGACCAGAAGAGTGTAATTTTAGGCGGGAGGTGGCTATGGTTAGTTTATTCAGATTGCGTAAATTATAAGCATTTGTTTCTTCACGTTTTTACTTATTTTCCTGGTATTTTCGTATGAACTTCTAATATATATATGCAGGGTAATGTAAGAATTCGATATTTATAAAAGTCCTATAGTTACAGCTATTTGTATTTTGTAGCTACATCTGGAAGTGTAAGCATCAATCGACCCATCTGTTCTAGGTACAGAAGGCAGAGCCGTCGCTTTATCGTAAAGTAGCGTCCGGTGGGCGGTACCTGGCACATGTGGTTGATGCAGTCGTCCGCGTTGACGGTGCAGTTCTGTCCGGAGTAGCCGCGCGGGCACGCGCACGTGTAGTGGCTGCGGTGGTCAGAGCACACGCCGCCGTTAGCGCACGGGTTGAACTCGGCCGTGCAGAATGGGATTTTCTTCTCGCAGAATTCACCTGTTTAAAGTCAAAGTCAAAATAATCTTTATTCAAATAGACTTCTTAAAAGTACTTTTGAATCGTCCAACATTTTTTCCCTACCGCTCGTTCAGTAGGCCAATTCTGCTAACGTTTACGTAATAATAGCGTGTCAATAGGATGTCAACTACTCGCATTTTGCCCTTGTACTATCTACCTGAACTCCAATATTATTATATATCTGACTCAATCGATGTGTGAGGAAGACATTGAACTAATAACATTGAACTTTATGTAGATAGTACAATGGTATAATGCAAGTCGTTGAGATTCTATCGAGATGCGGTTATAACGTAAACATTAGCAAAATTGGCCTGCAGGACGTCTTTTGGCTGATAAGAAGAACGAGCAAGAAACTCACCAGCTCTAATAGGTGTAATGACATTTACAAAAACCATGCCATTACCAGATCCATTCATTATAAATAAAGAGACATAAAAAACATGAGCGTTTCATTGGCTACTATACTAAGATTATAAACTGGAAAAATTTGATTGTTTACATTGAATACGCTCTCAAATTACTGGATTTTGAAAATTCTTTAACCTAGCCTAGGGAAGCTACATAAAGCGCTGGTGACATAGGCTTAATATACGCGGGCGAAATCGTGGGAAAAGAGCTAGTGATGAAATATAAGCTCAGATTCTACGACAATTGCGTAAACTAAGATTAAACCGGAGTTTATAGGTGGTGTTGTCTAGGCACCTTTGCCTAATACAAGTGACGTACCCATGTACCCTGGCGCGCACTTGCACGTGTACCCCTCCAGCTTGTCGAGGCAGGTGGCGTTGTTCTGGCACCGGTGCCCCGCGCAGTCGTCTATGTTCACCTCGCACCTCACACCCGTGTACCCCGCCTCGCACGAGCAACTATTACAATGTGATAGGTTAATGTGTGTGTAAAGAATTACGTTCAACCTTATTATATAGGCATAAAGGTAGGTTTATTAAACATAAATAACAGTACACTAACAGGCATATTGATTTAAGGACAAGTTTGACTACGTATCAATCCCCAACTAATTCGCATCCATCTATTAAAAAAACCCTAAGCTCATTTTGTTAATATTTTGTCATAAATTTCATAAAAATCTTAGGTAATTATATATACAGTTTAGTCGTAAAACATAAGTGTAAAATTGACAATTAGTCGTAACATCGTTTAAAAAAACTTTATAAATTTTTACATCACCGATAAAAAATCAGATTATTTCAATATCTTGTATTTTTTTACAGATTCCTAGATCGATCCATATTTTTTAATTATATTTTTCCGGAAATATAAATATAATGTTTTCCAATAAAACTTACTATAAAAAAATAGTACACAGACGATGTGTGTAAAGAAAACAGCATAACTTACTGAAATCTTCCCTCCTCAAGCAGTTGGCATTGTCCGTTGGCGCAAGGCGAGCCATAGCAAGCATCTATCTGATGCTGACACGTCTCACCATGGAATCCCCTGGATTTATAGTTAATATTAACATCTACATATCATTTTAACTTGAATATATTAAATTACTAATAACATACAACTGTTTTTAATGGAATTAAATTCCGTTTATGTTCATTGGAAGTTTGAACGACGTAAGATCATGGAAAATGAATTTCATTCAAATTTATAACGCCAAATTCTCATGCCTAATACTCGATTAGTGCTAGATAACATCTTCTTTTAAGTATATAATAGTAGGAAGACAGTTTTAAAACAGAATAATTGAAACTTTGTACTGTGTAAAAGGTCAATTTCATCAACCTTTGGTTCTATAGATCTAAGTAAAGTAAGTAAATGGTATATAGTGTAGGTAGTTACCTCGCGCAGGCGCATTCGAACCCCCCGGAAGCGGTGGGCGCGCACACGCCACCGTTGAGGCACGGACTGTTGTAGCACCGGTCACACTTCGACACCACCTCCGCTGGCGGTTTGCCTAAATGATCCATCATTATTATTGTAATAATAACTTGTATTTTATTCTGTTACTTATTTAAATTAGATGAGTAAAATGTTGTTTAGAAAAGTTAAAGATGAAAAACCAAAAATATATCAAGATGTTTATTCATTCAATCATTTTTTAGAAGCGTTTGACAAGGTCAACTTTGTAGAAAACTACAATCACTGAGGATACATTCGCTCCCGCACGATTCGTTGTTGCGCTATAAATAATTTACCAGACTTAAATTACTGAAATGTACAAAAAGCTAAACTTTGAAAAAAAAAATCTGTATAGATTTTGGTATTTCCTAAGGATCTCATCTAGGTCCTTCTTATTGTGTTTGTCAACGATATTATTAACGATCACATTTTTTATTGTTTCGTTATTTGTTTCCTAATTTCTACTCCATTAAAAGTATCTCTGAAAACTTTTTTTTTAGTGACATAGAAAGCAAAACAGCTAATATCTTAACTTTATTTGCAAATATAATAGTATAATTAACTATATTATACCATAGTTAAAAATAAGACGTTGATTTTAAGATGAAATTGGAGTTGATAAAATGCTTTAAGATGAAATAAATGAAATGAATGTGTAAGTTCAATGTCAATGTAGAACTTACCTCTACACGTGAAGGCGGAGGTCTGCGTGCTGAGCAGCAGCTTGTCCCTCATGGTGGGCGGGTCGGCGCAGCGCGCTATCCCCGGCTCCACGTACTCGCCCGCGCTGCGCACCCACTCCGACAACCAGCGCAAGCCGCAGTCGCAGTACAGCGGGTTCGACCCTAGCGCACTGATTACCACACGATACCATTAGATCTTTTTAGGGTTCTGATTGTCAAAAAACTTGTAAGATCACTCGCGGTTCTATCGGCTTATCACAACTAATTTTCTCCGCGACTATTGGACTGATAGAGCCAAGTGTACATCTGTAAGTCAGTATACGAAAGAAAGTTCATAACAATTTTGAAAAGAATTAGAAAATTGAATTAGAAACTAAGTTTTATGAGACATTTTGTATTGGAAAGGGCTCGCTTCACTTGGTCAATCTTTCTAGGCAGATTACAAATTTGTAGTGTGCAGTAGTGAGCTTAGGACATGATCAACAGTAGTTCAACTTACAAGTACAGCAAACCCTCACTACTATTTTGATATTGTACTCGGAACCTGTGTGGCACTTACACGTGTGATATCGATTCCAAATCTCTGAACACACCGTCGGCCAGCATCGATATGTTGTTCCCGTGTAATGATAACACGCGAAGCTGCGTCAACCCTTTCAACGCGTCCCGCTGTAAATGATTAAACAACTCTTAAAGTCGAAACAAAAGAAGTATTCATGGAATCAAATTAAACACCGCGTTACTTCTTAACTGTTACTTCAGACTTGAGTTGACTTTCAGTATTGATTTTGCAATTTGTACCTGAACGCATCTCAAGCGGTTGTAGCTGACGATGAGCGTAGACAGCTTGGATAATCCCTGGAAGGTGTGGTTGGCGAGTACGCTGATCCGGTTATTGGACAGGTCCAACCTTTGCAGCTGCGTCAAGTGTCGCACCTGTTCCGCTGATATGCTGGTGATCTCGTTGGATTCTAAATACCTAGTAATAGAAGTTTATTGCTTTATATTAGTAGATAATTAGTGGTCTTAAAATATACAGAAGTTCGTCATATGTGCAAAGATATTGCGAATGTTAAATATGTGTATTTCAAAATGCAAAACTCAAAAGAAATCGTAGTTGTTAAAGGTGGCAAATAATGTTTTTTTAAGTAGGAATATAAGCAGATGAAAAAAAAATTAAATTTCATAAGTATCTTAATGATATATAAAATATGCTTTATTTTGTATTTAACATATTTATATATTTTACCTACATTATCATACTACTCCATTTAATTATTCTATTATATTATTTTTGGCTTTCTTCTTTACTATTGGCACACTACATTCGGTCTTTCTTTCCAAATGTTACACGAATCAAAGGTTGTGTGGAAGAGGTAGCTTTCAACGATAAGACCGCCTTTGCTAGCATTAGAACCGATATTGTTAACTTAATATTAATAATTATGTGTAAGCAATAACGTGTCTATCTATCATTCTAGTTCACATAACTTTGTTTAGCTTCTAAGATCTAACTAAAGTACTTGTTATGAAAATGTGAACCAACGAAGATCACCTAATCACGAGATAATGTGGAATATGTTGTTATATTTTATGTCGACCTGGCTGAGAATCAAATCTTCTCAGAGATGGTGATGTACTCACAGTTCTGTGGTTTGTCTAGGTATATTTGCTGGCAAGGTGGTTAATTGCGCGCGAGAACATCGAACTACAGTTCCAGTACACGTGCACTGTGCTGGGCAGTAATCAGGAGCGAGACATCCCTTGTCTTCAGCTAAAAGAAAATAAACAAATGTTACCACGTTGTTAGTAGGTTGAATTTCTTTAACAACGTATTCCAACACTGCACTATGGTCCAATACTCCAAATTAAACCTTATTGTACTTTTGCATGAATACAAATATAGAGGCAGGAGGAGATATAATCCAATGCGAAGGCGTAGAGTGATCTGGAGGAAGGATTCTGATAGTCACGCAGATTATAGACAGACGAGTCATAAATATACATTAGTATTTACCAAATGTTCATTTTGAAATTTGAGATTACTTTTACATTCCAAACAAATCAAGTTTATAAATTTTAACAAATATATATATATTTTTCATGAAAAATGCTTAAAAATCCACATTGTCCCTGGCACTTTGTTTCTATTCTCTTAAAATTGATCAAATAAATAAATAAAAATTAAATTAACGTCTACAGATTTTCCGAAAAGATTCGACCATGTCACTCATGGTATATTTTATCAATTACTGTCGTCACTGAGGATACATGGTTTGTTGTTGTAATAATAGATAGGTAGTGTGAGATAAGTTTTTAAATGGTTACTCACTCACTTGCAACTATATTTAAAATTAAGACGAATAACTACATAACTTTTGGTTTTCCACAAGGTTTTCAACTAGGCCCTTTATTTTTTATTATCTTTATTTAATTAAGTGAAAAAATAAGGCGTTTCCGTTTAAATATCATGATAAGATTCAATTTTTTTTCGGATCATTCAATTACTAACAATTAGATCATATGTTATTATTGAAGTATTCTCACGTGTGCATTTGAAGTCTGCAGTCTCAAGGTGGTGAATGTTGGCAGCGTGCAGCGGCTGTGGGGCGTGACAGACGGCGTCTGGTGCGAGGTGCCGCGCCCGCAGCCACGCCCCGAGCCACGCTAGATGACACGTGCACTCCAGCGGATTACCCTCCAGGCGACTGCCAATATATGTTGATAATATTGAAGAATACTGCCACAATATTGCATTAAGATCAAACAGTAATAACATTAGCAGAATTATTATGTGTGTTGGAAATAGTTAGTTATTTTTGAGCGCGGTGGCATCGGTATTATAATCAGATGTTCTTGTATCTAATTGTATTTTATTTATATAACTAATTACTGGATCCCAAGCCGGTGGTGTATTCCAACCTCCATCTCTATTAAAATTCGGATGTTTGCAAAGACATCCGAATTTTGAGAGTAATTAATCAAATAAAATTTACAGAACCAAAAGATACAGTTAGTTCAGTCTGTAAATATTAAATTAAAGGGAGCAATTCACTTTTCTTGTCGGAGTTTGTTTCGCCAGTTCTTCTCAGACAAGACTCCCAAATTTGGAACTGGTGGTAGATTACGGTAGCCAGGGGTAAATAAATAAGTCAAATGTATTTTTTTAATAAATGTAAATATTTCCATAAAATATATTTAAAAAAAATGTATTGTGCAGGTATCCAATGGTATTGTTTTGAAGGTAGGTTTGCTTTTAATGAAAAAGATAATCAACACCTAAGTCTTATGTGGACAAGGAACCTGTAAATGGGCCCGAAACATCAATAAAACTAAATACAAATGCGATTTGATGTTTGATAAGCATATATCGATTCAGATCAGATCGAAAGGGAGTCGATTTAGAACGAAAAAGAATCGACATCGAAAAATAGATGGCAAACGTAGACGAAGGCGTTCACCTACTCGGTGGTCTGATCTTATAAAATCCGTAGCTACACTCAATGTATCGGCTTCCTTATGCCAAGCAGAAGATAGGGTAATGTGGAAGCGGATAATCGGGGCTTCGGGTATGTCAGCGCAGCTCTCATGAAAGCACGACCTTCAGAAATGAAAACAGCGACCAAGAAGAAGCATATATCAACAAAAATACTCACAGAGTGTTCAACATAGTCAGGTGATCGAACGCTCCAGGAGTAATGCATTTAATTTTGTTGTCAGCCAGAGACCTAGAGAAAGAAAAGAGAAAAACATTATATATTATTATTTTAGAGTTCTGTATTTTTGTTTATTACATAATAACAAAGCTAACAGCTATTGGACAGGTCATAAAATTTACTTTTATATATTTCTGCCTAGAATTTTATAGTTCTTTTCGATTATGAACATATCTTCACTAAGATTAAAAAGAAAGATTGCTAACAATCTTTTATTCCTGACGACTTTGAGAACCTTTCATAATTACTTGTTGAAAATAATGAGTAAATAAGAGAACAAATCGTGTTCAAATTTTTCAGTACTCATATGCTCACTTACAGTACGGTTAAGCTGTGTAGACCGAAGAACATTTTGTCAGTGATCGTCTGCAAGAGGTTTCTGTCGAGCAGTAATTCTTGTATGTTGGCAGCACCGTCGAACGCGTTGTCTTCAATTACTAGTATACCTGAACATTAAATTACTTTGATGAATATTAACTGCCTCAGTCGAATACCTACAGACAATATTTATCGACCTAAGCATAACTCTACCGATCAAGTAGCCTGAGATTCCATTAATACTGTCGATATTCCCGAGTGCATTATACCATATATCACTAAATATTTAAGCCAAGAGTGTGTAGGTTCTTTATGGGCCCACCGTAGATCTGATTTATGTCTTTGGGCTAGATTGAGGTCAAGAGTGAGCCTATTATAAATAAATGAAAAAAAGAACCTCTTTACTTTAATTGCAAATGAGCATATTTCCATTAATGTTTAAAATCGTTTATTCATATTTGCTAACTCATGAAATATCAGTCATATAACGACATTTAATTCTCATGTTATTACCTACCATTATTTCTGAAATCCAATTTCGTCAGATCTGGCAGTCGACCGAAAGTGCCGTCTGATTTAATCTGTGCCAGGTTATTGTCTGGCATCAATCTGCAACAATTAAGGATAAGTTTTAAGAAAAGTGGAATATATACGCGTGATGTATCCTCCCGTAGGTAAAGAATTTTCATGATGAGTTAGTATAGATATCACTTCAAAAGCGGAGTCCGCTCAACCTTGAATTGGTTAAAATCATATAGTCTAGTCGAAATTATATAGGAATAGGATATCTTAGACATGTATATTCAATCGATTTTGTTATGGATTTTTATACAAAAAAAGAATTTATACATTTACTTTGTGAATTCGGGCACCTGAGTAAATTTGAATTCAGGTTTGGATTTTTAGAATTCCAGGCCAGATTAGTATTTCCAGAGAAAAAAAAAGAAATTTACAAACTTTACATCTTTATAAGTTAGCATAGGTATCATCGTAATGTTTGTTACTCACAGTGCGTCAGTGTTGAGCGGCAGGTCCTTGGGCAGGTCTGCGAGGTGTGCGCGCGCGCAGGACACGGCCACGCCGCGCCCCGCGCCGCCTCCACCGCCCCCGCCCCCGCCCCCGCTCGCCTCGCACGCGCACCCCGCCGGGCACGACCCCACCTCCCCGCACGACTCCGCCCCGCCCTCGCCCGCTGATGTACCGACACCCATATTAGGATCATTCACTGTGCTTCCTCATCCACCACAAGCAGAAAATTCAAAATAAAGTTCTTGATTAATGACCAGAAAATATCCATCTATAGTTCATCACATACTTCAGATATCACGCTTGTAGAGAGCAGAAGAAAGCGCACCCGAGGATACTTTTCTCAGAAATCACAGGCAAGATCACATTCATGCAAAGAGTTATGAATATAGGAAACTAAAACAGAAAGGTTCTTCGCATTTTATATGAAAATTCAAAACATTTTTTAATAAAGTTTATTTAAGTATATTTAACTAAAGTATGTAGGTATCATTGTGTTCGATAACTTTTTGCCATCTTGTAGGTAGGAACATGATCGCATTGCTAAAGAAATGAAGCTTCTAATCAAAAAACCTCGACAAGTGGTTTTGGCAGTCCTCGTGTAATATTAACCTGACACTGCCTAAAGAATTCTGAAGAGACCGAAACATGTGTGAAATCTGAAGGTGCAAGGTCAGGACTATACGACGGATGCATTAACAGCTCCCAGCCATACTCTGTTAATTTTTGTTGAGAAATAAAAAACTACATCCCTACCCATCATAAAAAGTGATGTACACAATTTTAATACAAGAAATAAAAATAAATTAACGGTGCCTGTCATTAGACTGCAAAAAGTTAATAACTCATTCAAGGGTCTTTGTGTGCGCTTCTACAATAAGGTCCCAAGCAAATTACAACAATTAGATATCATGCAGTTTAAATCTACTATTAAAAAAATACTTATTAAAAAAGCTTATTATAAGGTATCCGATTATATAACAGATAAGAACGCTTGGACTTGAGATGATCCAGCAACTGGATAGGTGATTACTTCTAAACTCATTATCTTGTTTCCATTATTATGTTATTATTATAAGACCATAGTTTTTTTTTATCTCTGTTTATAATGTATTGATCTGGTAATGACATGGTTTTTGTAAATGTCGTTACTCTTATTAGAGCTGGTGAGTTTCTTGCTCGTTTTTCTTATCAGCCAAAAGACGTCCTGAACGAGTGGTAGGGAAAAAATGTTGGACGATTCAAAAGTACTTTTAAGAAGTCTATTTGAATAAAGATTATTTTGACTTTGACTTCTATTGATTAATTCTGGTCGCTTTCACTCAACTTCTTGCTTTAATCTCATTAGTTGTTCGCAGTAGAGTTCAGAATCGGTGATCCTGCCTGGCGGCATTAGCTCATAATAAATAATATCCTTCTAATCCCACAATACACACAGCATCACCTTGTTGCGGATTAACCCGGGTTTCGCCACAGTTTGTGAAGGCTGACCGACCTTGGACCACTACCTTTTCCGCACATTCTTGTCGTATGTGATCCATTTTCCATTACGGGTTATCAACTTCTTCAAAAATGGTTCGGTTTCATTACGCCGTAATAAAGAATCACAAATGAGTACACGATTCATTAGGTTTCTTTTAGTGAGCTCGTGAGGTACCCAAATATCTCTACCTAACTTTTTCAAATGCGTCAAAACTGTTTTGTGGTCAATCCCCAGGTTCTTCGGCTACGTCTTAAATACTTTTTTTTTAGCGATCGCCTTGCATATTTACCTTTTTTTTATTATAAAAATTTAAAAGATATCGTATTTCTTCATTAGATTTCACTCATTTTGACAGTAAGAAAAACAAATGAAAATCACAAATTTTTCTAATTTGATTTCGGAGTTATCTTCTAAACTTTTAATGATACCGAAACCAACCACATAGAAATAACCAGAAAGATTTTATTACAAGTTTACGCATACTATATGGGAAAAGACTGTTTCCCCAACCAATAATACATTTTCGAATCGCCCGTCCAATAACTAGGTGCTTGTTACTGCTTTATAGAGTTGTATCGATATCGATATGATATGAACTTACGTTTGCATTTAAAGTTCTCTTCTCTTAAAGCGTCTATCCTCTTCCTGCTCATTCGTTTCGGCGCCTCGCATTTAGCTCCGGAGGTCTCTATTGGATTCTTGCGCAGGTATGCTGCCAACCAGCGCAAGGAACAGTCGCACGAGAACGGATTGCGGCCTAAGTGACTGAGGAATAAAGTTCATAAATTAATAAATGGCAAAACATATAATAGGCTGTAAGCAACTGACTGTGTTGTTTTAAAAATTTTAGTTTCACCAAAGACTACTTATCCAAACAAAGAAACAGTAATATAAAACCAACTTCAGTGTAATCTGTCAAATATATTGTAAGCATATTTTGATCTAACTCAACTGGAGTCAGTTTAAAATTCAACAAAATGCTGAATTAGTACCGTGAATTAGTGAATTAGTTTGCAGAAAAATCGTGAAATAACTAAAGAAAATCTTGATTGATTAGATTTGTAGACTCACAGTGTTTGAATACCCGTCAGAGCATCGAAAGTCCCGTTCGATAGAGTTCTGATGTTGTTGTCATAAAGGGATCTGAAAAGAAATTGATGATACATTAATTGTTTATAACACATAACACTAAATAATACAATTTATTGTCTTTTACTTACAGTAACTTGAGATTCTGCAGATCTTTAAACGTGTCTTTTCTAACGCATGTTATTTCATTGGAATTTAACAATCTGAAAAATATATAGATTTTTTTACAAAGATAATTAGAATTGAATACTTTTTTAACTATTTGATGGGTTCTTCAGTAACCTAACTCGCACACAAACGGCCGAATCATAAAAAAAAATAAAAAACCAAACCTCTTAAAATGACGTTAAAAATGGTCTGACACTTTAAATTCTCAAATTAGAAACCGGGTGTTAGAGCACATACAATTATTATTTCTGAGGACAGTCAAATATGTATTAAAATATTTATTTAAGCTTTGAAAAAACGTACAAATGGCGGACTTAATTCCATTAGGCATTCTCTAAAAGTTAACCGGCGAGTTGTAGCAGAGAACTTTTGAAAGTTGGTGCAACAATCGAACAAAATATATCAGCGGTAGCCATTTTAGCGACTAGTAACACTCACAACAGTTGTAACGATGTCAATCCGTGAAATATTCCAGACGGGAGCTCCTTTATTTTGTTGCCATAGAGAACTCTGTAACAAAATAAACAATTCAATTCAAATTTTTTTCGTAATTATATAACTTTTTAACTAATCATAAATGCCGGCGAGCATGTAGGTATGAAACGCTATGTCCTCTCTGCCTACTCTGCAAGGGATACAGCATGAAGATTTGTAACCACGCTCGAGTTTACGACCTTAAATTATTAAGTTAAATACGTTATCTTATTGAATTTCGTGTGTTATTACAAAATATAAAGATATATTTAAAACACTCACAAGGAGGAGAGATGAGTGAGTCCGGTGAAAGCGTCAGCGGCAAGTTTGGTGATCTTATTGTTGGAGAGGTCGATGCGCGTCACACGCTTCACCTGCGCGAACGCGCCCGGACCCACCTCTGTTATCTCATTCTGTTCCAAACGGCTGCAATTAATTAACAAAACAATATCAGAAAATTTTAATTTACGCTGCTCCGATCATAAGATGTGTGGATCTTGAAAAATAAAATGTTTTCTACTTTCCCGTTGACTCGAAAATGTAAGTACATGGTGAATTGTTAGGCATTGACTTACTGAAAATATTGTTTTCAAAATATTTGCAATATTAACACGATTTTATTCTTTTCATTTTATTTTACCTTTTATCAATATAATAAATCTATAAATCATTTATTATTTTAACATCTAACGGGATGTATTATTCCGATAATTCGCTAGACTGTGGCTTCCAATCCCGCAGCCTGTATTCAATCTCGGTATTTGCGGAATTTTGGTATTTGTCGAACGGAATCCCGCGTCTAGAAAATATTACTATTTATACAAGGCAAAATAATAATAATAATAATAATAATTAAACAATACAACTTTACATTTATTAATTTTTTACTATTAGCATAAGATTAATCAAATTGGGCCGTTGATTTGTTACTGAAGACTAAAATAAATACTTAAAAAATTGCAACTACAAAATATATTACTACTATAAATTAAAATATAAAAACATTTTAATCTGAATTTATGCAAGAATAATTATGATTTTAATTATTTAGTTTGGTCAGTTTGGTCGAGTGTGCATGTTTCTTTCCAGTCCTGCAAATCCCGCGGATCCCGCGCATGTGATGCCACACGGGATTGAAAACAATACGCGGGATTCCGCATTACCGAGATCTCGGTAGTCCTAGTTTAGGTTGTTATGAGTATTTGTGTAAAAATAAATAAAAATATTGTAGTTTTGGCTTATTTCGGAAGGCGTTCGAAGTGCACATTGATTATGCAGTTCGCGATTCCACATTGACTCGGTGTGCAATTTAAATGTTGTTAATATCGACTATTTAATAGGGATGATGACTGGGTAAAAAAAATGCAATTTTATTTAGTCCGTCAGTCAGAGAAACTCAATGTAACGCCGTAATTTTATGATTACGAAAAAAAATAAAAAATACGTGTTTAATATTTTTTAACACTTTACCTGACGGACAAACAAACAAAAATTAGTCATCATCCCTATTGTAATTGAAACGCTAAAAGAACATCTTATTACATGTTACTGCAGGTATGAGATGATAAATTAGTTGCACCTATACTTCTTGTCTGCCATATTTTAGGACTGCAAGTTCTGTTAACGCTTTGACTGTCGATCGACCGTAGTACGGTGATTGGGAGCGGTGCGCTTTGTTGGCTTTTGTTAAATATATAAATAAAACCTATAGTGTTAGGGTCTAAATAATCTATTAAAATAAAATAAACTGACATTTCAGTGGCGCGGTGTGGTATGGCGGCGGGTAGTTCGGGCAGTAGTTTCTCGCGGCAGTCGACGGTACCCTCCGCGGAGCAGCGGCACGCGGGTGGACAGCGCGGCTCCGCGGAACACTCGCCCCCGCCCGCCGCGCCGGCCCCCGCACCCGGCCCTGCACAAAACGAACAGATCTCACTCTGAGCCCTCATCGTCTCCAGGGGCACTTTCCTTGAGCCCAGAACATAACCAAAATTTAACGGCTTTCTCGCCTGTTTCAGGAGTCTATATAAGGAAAAATATAAAAATCATACCATTACAAATCAGTTCATGAGCTTCTAAATCTGAGAGTAACGCTCCCCTCAAAGCAGCAGGGGCTTGGCATCTGGAAACAGCAAGCAAATAAAAAAACTTTCAACAAAAAATATATTAGCAGACATAATTTAAAAAATATGCTAGCGTGTAAACTTTTAATCGAAGGAAGTTATACCATAGAAGGAAACGTCATGGTTACCTGGCTCCAACACCTGGAATGCTAGCAGCTTTTATAGCTGTGGCTAGTCTGGTCACTCGGCAGTCACATACTAAAGGGTTGTCAGTCAACCGCAGGGTATGAAGACGTGTGATCGCAGCGGGTTCCACTGCTAGGTACGTCAGGTTGTTGTTATTTAGAGTCCTGGAGAGAAGGTATTCTTGAAACCAAATGAACAGGAAAAGGAATAATAAAGCTTAGCAGTATACAAAGTGTTGTGGTAAGTTACCCATTTATCATCCTACATGGAATTATTTATACGACGCGGCATCCGACATGACCTAGAGAAAGCTCGACTAGTTTTGCAAGCTTCGTCTATCGTATTTTAGCTAGTAATGCCAGGTGTTCAGTCTCCAAAGTTGTCCTTTATGGTGTTTCAAATAATATGTTTGAAAACTCACGTATAAAAAGAAACTTTTATCATATGCCCTTATTTTGTATAATTATAAACTAAAATTGAAACATTTTTAAAGAAAAACTTTGGCTTATAAAGGTAATTAAATTCGAATTTCTAGTTGTTTACATTAGTTTCTTTAAGAAATGATTCAGAAATATTTATGTTTTCAATCGAATCAATAATAAAACATATTCCAGTTATGATGACACATTACATTTGAATTAAAAATGATGTTAATAGCTTAGGACAAGGTGCTATTCATCCTGGTTCTAAATATTCTAAATTATTGTTTTAAATAACAAAGAAAAAATAATTAACTTATCTTACTTACAAGAGTTCTAAGCTCTTCAAGTTCTCAAATGCCTTCTCGTCTACACATTTGAGCTGATTCCCGTCGAGATGCAGACTCTTGAGTGCGGTCAAACCACGAAATGTCCGTCTACTGATCGCGGTAAGCTCGTTCCTGCTAAGGTCTCTGCAATTTTGGAACATAGATCAGATAAGATAACACTTACATTTCAATGATCTAATGTTTTTAAAAGCATAATTAACAGATGATAAATATTTTCAAGAAATTTTCTCACAATCAGTGAAGGTCTTGCCCTTGTAAGGTTGAAAATGAGTTAAAAGTACAGGGAATGACAGACACGGAGAACGATTATGTTTACACTTTGTAGTTTATTTCTTCTTCTTCTTTTATTAATGGCTTATACTAGATGTGATTTCCCACTTGAATTGACGTTTCTAGACTTCAAAAATTTGATTCATGATTTTAAACAGCCTTTAAAACCTTCCTTGTGTTTTGTTTGCAATGTAACAGAGCAATCCTCCTTTCTAAGGAGTCTACCTAATGTAGTTTCTAAATCAAATTATGGATGCCACTGTAAACGATTTCAAAAATGGAGGAGGTTCAACATTTTTTTTGGTGTTTGTTGCGCGGTCACTCCGCCAATTCGATTGGCTTTTGGTCGGGCGGTTAATAATTAACAAACTACAGAAATCTTCAGCCCGACTTCAATGTTTCTTGAAAAATTCAACCGTTTTAAGACTAGTATTATTTTCCCCTTATTCAAATTTTAAGTCGGTTCTTTTTTTTGAAATATATTTATATGTGTGGTCAACAGTGCGTTAGGTAATACAAAATCGTCTAATTTCGTTGACAATAATGTTCAGATTTTTAACACAAGATAGTTTGTTTTAATTTTTGTAATTAGTGAGTTCGCAATTTTCCTTCGTGAGTCTACCTGCCCTCTATAATCCACTTCAGCTTTCGTCTTTAACGATTGATTGCTACTAAATCATTAATAAGATATGAAAATTTTATTGATTTATTGACCTATTTCAGCTTTGTATTTTGTTGACCGAATATTCTACACCATTACTTTGTTTCATCCCCCGCCGCTCCGCCTGCGTGTATTACATGACTGTAAAACCTATAACATCCTTACTTTCAACCTATCCATATAGGTTGAAGTTTCAAAATCCTTTCTTAGCGAACCTCTACGTCAATCGAGTACCAAACAGCTTGACACGCTAAGTAGTTGGAGCAGTGCATTCGCACATCAGTCAGGCCCTTTGATTTTGTACGGATATTTCATTAAACAATCTAAGTCTGTGTAAAAATATCGATACTATTTTGTATGGAATATTACATTAGTCAATTGCCCGCATTAGTTTATTGATCAACAAGATGAACTATGCACATTCCATATGCGGATTCTGTCGACCAATGTAAATAAGCGACTCGAGAGCTTATACATAAGAAAATCCCACAAGTAAAAGTGTGTAATCGCATCGTGAGAACAGAACCTCATGGTTGTGAAAGTGTCACGGGGACTGAATCCTGGTTTATCGCAACTATATTGCACGGCATTGTAAGATTAATAACCCAAATATTTATAGGTTTATCAAGCTAATGGTTTTTCTTATTAAGAATTACTCAAGGTTCTGAATATGGTATCACTCGAGATTGTTATGCTCTACGTTTCGCACGCGATACGGCAGTTTATAGTCGTTATTAAATATTAATAGCGCCAGCCCCTGCTTTGAAGGGAAAGATTATAATGGATACGCCAGTATTTTCTTTATTTTAACTAAAGTTCCATCTAAAGCAAAAAAATAATACACGAATTCATTTAGTTAAATGAGCAAATTGAAAATTCAACTTGAATTTCCTTTCCGTTTTTCTAATTCTTATATGTATGTTAATATTACACTAAACTATTTTACATTTTAATCAGAACTCGGTATACATTATTGAAATTTATTCAAATTTTTATTTGATTTATTTTTTAATATTTATTTAGTATGTTTTAGAATATATTAAGTTTACTTAATAATAGATAATATTCTCAACGAAAAATGCTTTAAAAATCTACTATATCCCTGGCACTCTGAGATTTGATGCGAAGTACCTTTCGCAATCCGGGCGACTGCTCCAACCACTAAGCTATCCAGGACCAAACAGGACTGACGAATCATTATTTTTTTAAGAATTTTTCATTCTGCATATTTTTCAGTATAGCATTGTATTGACATCTTAAATTAGAAATTTGAAAAATGACAACTAATAAATGAAAAAGAAGAATAAAGGCGTATCCTTAGTAATCCGTCAACAATAGGGTCTGTCGAAAATTGCCGCTATCCATTTCGTGTGAATAATCCAATGGCACCGAACTTCCTTGAGGCGGGCAGATGTAGAACTACATAAGTAGCTTTAGTTGTATACACTTGATTGATTGAAGTATTTACTTTGGAGACGACTTATAAGAAGATTTATTATTATGGACACATAATACATTGAAAATAATATATAAAGCATTAAGAAAACAACGAATCACAAAATTGAATTAATAACCAAAAAATGATTTAATGAGCTATCGAATTAGTTCCAATATATATCTATAAAGTTAATTAACAAACTAAATTGTAATAACCATTGAAATGTTATAGAAACATCAAGGGAATGCGCCTTTGGTCAAACATGTAGAAATAATGATTACTTAAACTCACAACGTGATACTGGAATAATTTAGAAGCAGGGGAAGGTCAAAACACACCTTTCATGATCAAATTAACGGATGTATTAACGGAAGGTGATGACAGAAGCCATAAAAATATTGGCGAGCATGTATGAAAAGTCGAGGAATCGAAAGATGTATGTAAAGACAGTGACCTAAATCAAATCAACATCGTTTATTGTCGAAAGCCTTATGAAAATCTGTTGGGTGAGACAACGTTGAGACTCTTGGGATAGCAAGGTCATATTCGTAAACGGGATAATAAAGTATTTTGTGTCACAAATTAAAAAATAGGTAGTTTTAATCTGGGTATTAATGTGACCTTTCTAAAGCGTTTGATCATCGTCGTGAAACTCCATGAAAAATTGGAGTATTATGGTGTCTATAGTTTAAACATCAAGTTTGTAAGTATAAATAAATATATTTTTGTAAGGTATACCGAACATACCGACATACCGAACGAGACATACCGAACGAGCAATTATAGTAAAAAATACAACCATTATTATAATCATTACAATTTGTTTTGCATTGGCAATATTGCAACAGTAAAATTTAATATCAATTATAAATGAGATACCTAATTAAGCGGTCTGATTCTGCTGGATCTCATAATGATAAAAGTGTGCCTTAAGTATCATTTTTAGGTCCTTAACTCTTTTAAGTTTCTACAAATGACAAGACTTATTACAGTAAGAATAGATTTAAGAATGTTTGCATATGACACATGCATTCTTTATATTTAATATTTAGATTTTTAGAAAACTAAATATAAAATGTTGTTATTACTCAATATCTTACGATTAATAATAACAAAAAAACAAATTATACAAGGTATGGATTGAAGACATTTTCAAATCTATCATACTATGTACCTATTTGAACAAATATGTACATTATTACCTAATTCTAATTGAGTGATTTTTTTATCTGTTAAACATTTTTAAATAGTATAGTTATCGTTTCTCAAAATATAATTTTCTTAACTATTTGGTCCCAATTCGTTCTCCACACATACGACAGAAGAAAAGCTCCTGTTAAGCTTCGTCGCTAAAGCTTTGTTTAAAATGGTTTCACAGTCAAAAGGTCCATTAGCGGGTGTAACAGCCATCTTAAAGAGCATGGGAAACAGCAAATGGCGGGTCGCGAGAGCTTTTCCGAGTTTTTTAGCTGGATTGTTTCATTTACTCGATCGTAAAAAGGATTTAGTAGTTGATTTAAAATGTTTTCGCTGGGTTTTGTTTAACTAAAGAGACTTAGATGGAAATTGGTTAAAAAAGAACGAAATTTATTTTAAAGATTAGCAATTAGATGCTAATCTTGTTAGATGTTGGTAATTATTTTTCTGCTTATTCTTTCTTATGAAATAAATGTATATTAATAGCATATTTTCAAGACAGTTATGAATATTTACTTACGTCGGTAATTTACCTCCAACTAATTACAAGAAGTAAGAGAAAATTTTTAAATAATTGTCTTTCTTAAATTCAACTTTATTTCTTTCTCGTAATCAGTCTTTGATAACTAAAATCAGCATTTATATTGGATTTAAATAATGTCTATTATCTGAGTAAAGCTTTAGATTGTACTGTTTCACAATTATTAATTTCATTCTGACACTTCCATCTTGTTGTAATTAAAATCCGAGCAACTTAAGCATAATTAAGTTAAGTAATTAGCGTGAGCCCTAATGGCGGCCACAGGAAGTAACGCCATATTGAAGTGCTAGTGACGTGAGAGATACGAAATGATAATGATAAAATATGAAAGAAATAATATTTGACTTTTTGAAACGTAAGAATACAGTTTTGTTGCTTCCAATTTTCGTAATATAGATGATGTTGTTGTAGGCAGAAGTAATTTTAGAGTAATATGTGATTTTGTCCAATCCCGATGAAACAATTTATACACTAAATCCTTCCCTAAATTACTTTATTATTCTATCGAAGGCCTGCTCGATAGTTCCTGAGAAGGTTTATAAGGTATAGTAAGTAGTAGGTACATAAGATTTTAATAGATACTGTAATGCTATTCTATTATAAAAACCAACTAAAACGCGACGACGAACGCTGAGCTGTCATTGCGTAGAGGAAAAATCAAATAAATCCAACTTGAAAGGGCATAAAGATTTTATAACATTGAAGCTTTATGACGTGACAGCGCTGACTTCGACGCCGAATTCGAGGCTGTTGTTAAATAACATAGCAGTATTTTAATTTGAAATCGGCATTCAAAGAATATTTCAATTCCGGATGTCAAAGAGACTGTGGCCTGTGAGTGGTGAGAAATTACTGTAAAATTTCGATAGTTTTTTCTCTTTATTCTAAATTTAACAAGTTCATCGAATTATTTATAAAGGAACTTTGAGCAAAAAAAAAGAGAAAATACAAAAAAAAAATATTTTAATGATATTCTTGTATTATGTGAAATAGGGCTGTAGACAAAATTTTACCACTTTAATACATCAAATTG